TGTTTTTAGGAAACGCTGGTTTAAAAAAAAAATTAAATAAAAATCAGTTTCCATTAAGCCTATTCCAACTGTAAATGGATGAAAGAAAGTGGAGTGTTGGAAACATACGGGGACATTAAAAATCGTAGTCGCCGCGGTTGGAACTAACGGCCCTTCGGAAAGTAAAGTTGTACGCAGAATAGAAGAACTGGGAGAGAACATAGTGCTACAGATACAAGAGAAAGCTAGGAAATTGATGAGGTATTCTCTGGCACTGGATGAGTCTACTGATATCTCACAACTTCTCGTGTTTATTTGTGGTGTCAATTTGGACTTTCAGATAACAGAAGAGTTGGTACCCGTTAGCAGCATGCATGGAACAAAATATGTCTGTGAGCAAACATTAAAAAAAATAATAACGTATGTGAAGTTAACACATCGAACGAGAGGGACTGAAGAACATTTAAAAACAATTATTTCGATTGGATGCAGCAATTTCAAATCAAATGTTGATGATATATGGAAAGCCAAATGTCCGTTTCACAAATCTCACTAAACTTTTTTGTTGCCTAGTTTGTGAGATTCGAATATGTGTGCACTAGGTCTGATGCAAATATCTTTTTGCTAGCGTCGCCTTCTTTGCTAACTTTTTAAAGTAAATAAATATGTTGGTTGCACGCTATGCACCCACGATTACCAAGGCGTCGAAGGAATACTCAATTTAGTCGTTCGTCTTCTTTCCCAGAGCTTTCGTCCTGGCTTGCACGTTTTGTTCAAATTGATTATCCGGCCCGAGCTCGTCATTTTTTTTACGTTATCCGGCCCTGCCGTGAAAAAAAGTTTGGTGACCCTGACTTAGAGGAACAACCAACCCACCCTTCTCAATGAAGGCTTTACATTCTAAAACGTATCCAAACAGCAGGTAGAAGCAAGCCATATTTATTAATAATTGATGTGAAGGATGACCAGTAGGTAGAAGCAAGCCATATTTATTAATAATTGATGTGAAGGATGACCAGTAGGTAGAAGCAAGCCATATTTATTAATAATTGATGTGAAGGATGACCAGTAGGTAGAAGCAAGCCATATTTATTAATAATTGATGTGAAGGATGACCAGTAGGTAGAAGCAAGCCATATTTATTAATAATTGATGTGAAGGATGACCAGTAGGTAGAAGCAAGCCATATTTATTAATAATTGATGTGAAGGATGACCAGTAGGTAGAAGCAAGCCATATTTATTAATAATTGATGTGAAGGATGACGCTATTGTAGGGAGGATAATTTTTATTTTTTTTAAAATTATTTATTTTTTTTAATCGCAGAAAAGGCCTTCTTAACTAACCCTATTTTGAAAGTGACCAAGCTGATATGCTCGGAATTTCCCCTCACTCGTAAACACTAGCGGCAACTTTAATAAGGATTATTTGATTACTGTATCCGATTGCTACGATTTACACAATTATGGTTGTACATTACCCACCAACTGACTTTTTAAAACTTTTTCTCAAAACCGCACTTTGGCCATGTTTGTCTCATTAAAAAAAAAGTTTTAAGTCCGCTTTTAAAAGGTTCTTAACATTATAATAAACATATAATATACAAACATAATAATGAAAATCAGAATAAGACTAGTCGGTGAGATTCGACTTAAACCGTCGCGGAGGGTCACATTATAGATATGAGAATGGGGAAAACGCGCGGGCCATATTAACACTAAGCTTCTCTGTCATGTAGCAGGCCGCAAAATATCGTCTTGCGGGCCGCAGATTGCTCGCGAGCCGCGAGTTTGAGACCCCTGAGCTAGAAGAATGTCAGTAAGACTTATTTAACCGAACTATATTAGTTGGTGGCAATGGCAATATACGATTTTTAGGTGGGGAGTAGAGGGGGGGAGGGGGGAGTCACAGGAAAAAGCTCAAAGAAAAGCAACTTTTTACTAACCGTACTTTGTAATTTTATTTTTAAGTCCATTTGAATGTTTATGATAGACTAAATATCACCCGTTAGTCTAACCAACAAAACGATCATGGAGCTATTAGTATTCTTTAAGATTTCTTAAAGTTAACTGTATTATTTGGTGCCGATGACTTATAACTTTACGTCAAAGCATATGATGCAATCCCTTGTTTGATGTAATTTTCTTCCCGTACGAAACAATGCTCCATTTATTACTGAGTGCCATTTGTGTACCGGTATGTTTTTTTCAGAAACTTAAATTAAAGTTGATAAACTCTATGAGAACACAAAATACAGGAGACAACAAATACTTCATTTTAATTAAAAACAGAATGTAAATAATAATTTATTAATGCAATCTTTACATTGTGATGTTCATTTCAAAGAATATTTGTAATTAAAGAATTGCCTATATTTACAACCAAAAAAAAAAAAAAAAAAGGTTACAAAAAGGACACATTTCATCTAAACTAAGGCAGGAATCCGGGAACTTTCCTAATTATAGGGTTTGTCATTTCTAAGACCGGAAAAGGTCCCATTGCACTACGTAATGTTACTATTTTTGGACAATGTTTTCGTAAAACAGCTTCAGCAACAGCAGTAATAATTTGTTTGTAAAAATCTTTCGTAAAAATAAAGTTGTAAACACGTTTGTCTTAACCTAAAGACCCACTATACTAGCTTACATTAACGTAGTAGTACCGAACAGCTGCTGAGAGATTGGCCAAACGGAACACCAGGTTGTTTTATTAACATCTTAAGGAGATTTGCCAAACTGTACGTCCCCGAATGTTCTATTAATAGATTTCCGCCATTAAGTGAGTAACCCCACTGCCCCAAAACATTTTTGATTACGCCGACGTCCCCCCCCCAACCGTATTTTTTGTTCGAATGGAGGAGATCATGGACTATTGGTGACTTTTCCCCCGTGGCTTTTGTCCAGCTCACCCAATCCTATTAGCCCACGGGCCTCAAGAATTAACATCTTAAGGAGATTTGCCAAACTGTACGTCCCCGAATGTTCTATTAATAGATTTCCGCCATTAAGTGAGTAACCCCCCTGCCCCAAAACATTTTTGATTACGCCGACGGCCCCCCCCCCCAACCGTATTTTTTGTTCGAATGGAGGAGATCATGGACTATTGGTGACTTTTCCCCCGTGGCTTTTGTCCAGCTCACCCAATCCTATTAGCCCACGGGCCTCAAGGAAGCCCACTCCGGGATTACTACAGCCACTATCTATGGACGATGAATACCGTCATACCGTGCACAGCTTGTTGACTGTACCCAGCACCGCCGAGTACATCCACACTGCACCTTAACCCGACTAAGCATCGTACCGAGGAAAACATTGAGTGCCAACAGAGGATAATGTTCAAAGTAATAATCGCAGTGTTGGACTTGCAATCAGACTAAACGAAACCATGTCTCATTGGTAGCTTTCCTATAAGACCAAAAATGGAACCACGTGTGGCATAAAAACACAGCATTGAAATTATAATTACAATGTTAAAGAGATTTTTTAAAAATTAGACTGATAACAAACTGTACTTAAAATTAAAACATAAAATCACAATGGCTGCTTTCAAAGTTATTTCATTAAAGGGCGGCTTCTCCCGAGTTCTGACTTCAGTGCGTCGAGGAATTCTAAAGCATACGTCTATGTTGATTTAAGTGTGGGCCAGCTGTCACATAGGCCTCTATTATTCCAGCTGTCACACAGGCCTCTATTATTCCAGCTGTCACACGGACCTCTATTATTCCAGCTGTCACACAGGCCTCTATTATTCCAGCTGTCACACATGCCTCTATTATTCCAGCTGTCACACATGCCTCTATTATTCCAGCTGTCACACATGCCTCTATTATTCCAGCAGTCACACAGACCTCTATTATTCCAGCTGTCACACATGCCTCTATTATTCCAGCTGTCACACAGGCCTGTATTATTCTAGCTGTCACACATGCCTCTATTATTCCAGTTGTCACACATGCCTCTATTATTCCAGCTGTCACACAAGCCAGCACTGAACTTGTTATCTTAAGGCAGCGGTTCTCAACTGTGGGTCGCGACTTCTACGGGTCTGGAACGTTCCCTTTACAGGGGTTACCTAAGATCACTGGAAAACGCATATACTCTACATTTGAAAAGTATCAAAGAAAATAATTTGTGTGGTTGGGTGTCGCCACAACATGAGGAACTGTGTTAAAGGGTCGCGGCATTAGTAAGGTTCAGAACCATTGTCTTAGGCATCCCGTGTCATTAAATCAAAAGAACTCTGATGATTATAACATAACCTAGTTGAGGGCTTTTTTTTTTTAAAGTACTAAATTCCAATAAGAAATATTATGAACAGTCTTCCCCTACACATTTACGCATAACACACATGATTTTGGCTTTCCAGAGCTTGCGTGATAGCCAGCTTGACCAGATGGCACCCAGGGCCAACACAAAAAATTGCGCTCATCTAATAAATAACGTTGCTAGTTTCCCATGATACGCAACAAGTGATACCTACTCCCTCCAAAGGTCCCAATTTGTTTAGACTTTGCAGGTCGAAATCACAAGGCCTGGTATTTTTTTTTCTTTAGGACTATAGACTGGTTCCCTAGACAGCAAATCGTCTCTCACCACGCGGCTAGATAGCCCATATATCACCATATATGGATGATAGAGCTTGGCACCAGTGACGTCGCAGGAGTTGGACTTTTTCATTGTATTTTTTGATTCAGTTTCCTTCTCTTCTTAGACTCAGATGAGTTGCCATCCAAGGGTAACGGGTCCCATCCACCCAGGGTGCTGGTGTTGATTTTGACTGACTTTGTCTTTGGTGGGAATTGAACTGCAGCTTGGGATTGACTCTGTCACCCAATTTTAAAACTTAAAATTGTGATATGCCTGCTAACAAACCCCTCATTTTATTTCTCCAACCAGCTTTTGGCACTTACTTCTGCCAAGTACCATACAACGAGAAAAGTCAAATCACATCATATAATTTTATTGATTGGACAAACAATATACAGTGTATACAGTATCATATCATCATAAGTTCATTAGCAAAAAAAAAAAAAAAAAAAAAAGGCAAATTACATGGACAATAATATTTATCATGAATCTGTAAAAAAAATAATCATATATCAACATTACAATAATCATGTTCAACAATCACACATAAATCATGGTCAATAACTGTCATATTTGGAAAGAATGTCTTAATCAATTCCCTTTTATTTTAATGTATTTAATTGCAGGTTACATTAGATCAACCAGCAGTGTTCACATTAACTGGTGATACATTTCTACATTTGATCATAAGCATTTTTCATTGTTGATTAATCAAGAGTTAGCTGCATTTTTTTTCTTTTAATTAAGAATCCAAAAATTAATAAAATTCATTATTTCTGTGTTAACAAATTTGATGTCAACCATCATTAAAAAATAATAAAATTATAATTACACAAATTTCAATTCTTTACCATTACAACTATTCACTTACAGGTTTATCATTAACATTAAATAAATTTACATCAATTTTTTTTTTTATTACAGTTGCAATTACAATAAATCATTAAAAGGAAAGCATTTTCTAAATGCAGTTACAGAAGAAACACATTTAAAACTAAACCAATTCATTTTCGATTGGTCATTGAATTTTTTTTCAATCTCGATTATGAGATTTTTCTTTTTAATTTTCAGAAAATAATTTTAACCAAGTACTGAAATATTAGCTCAACCATATGAAATATGTGAAATATTTTCCTTGAACATGTGACTGATTAAAACTTAGATATGAAAGGAACTTTATGGAAGGTTGAATGCAACATGAATGGTGATGCCTAAACAACTGTTGTCAAATTTAAATTTTTTTTTAAAAGTGAAAGACAAATTATTTGTAAATATTTGATAATTTTATATTGTGTATGAATACAGAAATTTGATGTCTCATTATGGAATATATAGAAGTAGAAGCAATGAGTATTAGTATTATGATAATATATAGCCAAGACTTCATTTCCTCAAGCTTTTACCCAATTACATGAAAATCTGACACATACACACAAAAATGTGATAAAAGTAAGAGTGGCCATGCCAACCAAACAGTCCAAGGGTCCAGCTACAGCCTACTGAGCAACAAAATATAAAACATCAATAAACAGCTTCCTTTAAAAAAAATTGTGCACATTGGATCAATACTGAATGTGAGCCTAAATGTTCAAAAGTTTTATATGTGTTATATTTTTGTATCAACATTCATGAAGAAACTCAGGCTATTTGGAATACCGGTAACAAGATCAACACTTTTGTTAAAAAATATTGAGATAGCATGACAAAATTTTTTTAAAAAATATGATTGGGTAACCCCGTTTATCTACTAACCCTGAAACTTTAGACATGATTATATTTACAATGAAATTCACCTTCTATCGCGTTTAAAAAATAATTAAAAAATTAATCAAATCATAAAAACGTTGAATGCATTTTTTTTATACCCGGTATCAATAATTGTGAGTTATCAGTTCATGTATGTAAAAACAGAATAGTGCTTGCAGTAACAATGCATCAAAAGATTTGGTTTAAAAAAATAAGATTAATGCAATTTTCAGTTTCTGCTTATAGAGAATAAATGAAGAATTTTAACTCTTAATTCATGATGAATTTTTTAAATTTTTATTTAACTCATTCAAAGTATCAGGGATTTAACTACAGAAATATTATTAAATGAAAAAAAAAAAATCAAAACAAATTCAGAATTTAAAAACACTTGGATATATTGCTGATTAAAGGAATGTCATTGCTTACACATTAGACAGGATAACTGATTGAACTTTTATCAAACATTGTTTAATTGTACTGAATTAGATTGGAAGTATGTCAAATAATGTACTGATCTGGAGGGATTGCATTGTAATATGAACTAAACTGATGCTAGGGTACCAGTGATAGTTTTTCTAGAATAATGGTTATGTCAGTGTCAGCTAACGATAAACTAATAAATTAATAAATAAGACTAGAGATCCAACACTTTTTCTCTAGCATAAACTCAAAATATACATTTTTTTACTTGATACTCTGGTAAAATCATTGAGACATATAAAATATATATATATTTTAAAACTCTGTATGATATTACGGTACCTAAGATTTATCTACGTAAGGCACAGCTGATTACAATAAAGGAAAAAAGAAACACCTGAAGGTCCTCCAAAATATCAAAAGTCAATCCATGTTGAAACTTTATTTTACATAAGTTGTCTTCTTTCAAGTATTTTTTGTATTACAAAAAGAGCTAAGGATTAAAATACACACTTTAATAAATGCTGAGCTGAAAATATGTCTGTTGTGCGATTTAAGGTGATTGCAATTTTTGAATAGCAACAATAAGCAGCTTTTAAATATAATTCAATTATTAGTAAAGAATAAGGTAAAAAGTAGCATCCATTTGAGACATTTTTTTAATCATCCATTGCAAGCAAATATTAACATGAAGATATATACTCTTGACTTGTCCAAGGACAAGCACTTTGGTTATTAGTATAGTAAAATACAACAAACATTTACAGTGGAGTCCAAAGCAGCTCAATTTCTATACACTGCCAAAAAGTGTTTGGAGCATCAACAAATCTTTTAAAACAGTTTAATTAAGTAAACCTCAAAGGAACTGAACAATAGCGATGGAAGGTATCCTGCAAACAGAATTTTGATTGATCTATTTTCAAGGCAGTGGGGTCCACTTTATATTTTCCTTTTCACAGTTGTTGAAGAAATTTTTTTTTTTAAACCAAGCAGAAAAGCAGTTCATATTACATCATTAAAAATCTTTCTCCAAGTAATCAAAAATAAACAGTAACTTTATTCTTTCAGTTCAAAAGTGAAAGATGATAATAATGTTAATAAGTTTATGATTTAACAAAAAAAAAAATCTGTTTTATTAGCTGAATCAGATTAAAAATGTCAAATTACCTTTGAAAAGAATCAGTAAAGAAATATGTGTATATATATATATATAAATATTTAAATTTCACATGCCTATGACATTTACTTATATGTCCCAGACAGTGTAGCAAGACAAACCCTGGAATGTTTATGCATCAAAACGCTGGTATGGGGCATCATCCTTTACAAGTCCTAAGTTTGGAGAATAATTGAAAGTAATTTATTAAGGGAAACAAATTTTGAAAAGAAACCATAAAGTATGATAAAGAAAATGAATTTTAATGTTAGGTAAACTGAAGACATGACTAAACAGGCAACATTTCAATTTGAGGGAATTTTAAATATCCCCATATAGTCTTACCATATTTCCTTCTGATTTCATCAAGGCGCCCTTTCCTCTCTGATCTTCTTTCATCCTGTTTCACTTTTCTCTCCATTTTCTGTGACTCAAATTTGGCATCATCCTTGTCAAATCTGAACCAATCAAAGCATTCAGTGGTTTATGTCAAAAATTGTTCAAATAATGGGTAAGGACTATAGCATCTATTTATAGGGAATAGCTATTTTGCATGGATCAAGATTTTAGATTTGAAAATATGTCTCCGTTAGTTTTGGCACAATCATTATCATAAGTTAAAATGAAATTTTATATCAAATTTTTTTTAAGATCAATAAAAAATTCAATATGAAATATGTGAATGTTGACATATTTGTTTAACTGTCTATTAATATTAAGAAAAACATTTACACTATCATGTGATCATGCCTGTTTCATAATTGTTTGCGAAAGTGTATTTCCTGTAAAATTTGCATTCCATTACTTACTTCTTTTTGTTATTTCCTCGGCAGCAGCAGCAGTAGATACAGCAAGATGCAATGGTGATGATAATCAAACCTCCAATAACACTCATAGCAATGATCAAAGCCTCAAAGTTTACTAGAATATAATATAATTTCTTAGCAGATGTATTAAAGTTAAAGTACCACACCACATGAAAAAATACAAGTCCAGACAAGACCAATTCAAAACCAGACAAAACCTAGACTTAGCAGAAAGCTGATCAATTAATAAGTAAAAATCACACAAATACACCTGTTAGCCCCATATTCAAGTGCAATTGTCATACTTAAAATCTAATCTAGTTCACTAGTTTTAACATCTGCAGGAAGTTTCTGGTACACCAACATTTTTAACTTTGCAAACATGCAAGTACCACAGAAGTACTTAATAAGCTGTTGGCACATTTCTATGTAGGAAATCCTTGACTAACTAATCTTTAATTAACCTATCTATAAACCATAATTAATCTCAACCACCTCACTCATGAATCCTACCAACAGTTAAGCTAGTTGCATGGGTCATTTATTCTTAAAAACAAGTACTCACCCCAACATACCCCCCATCTGGCTTTATCAAGTGAACAGTAGGATGAAGGGGGCAAAACTTTCCCTGCAGGGTATAGCATACATTTGTCATCACTGTAACAGTACAAGCACTGGGGATATTAAAAGAATGGTACATCAAATAGTGGACATGAAAGGTAATCAAATCAAATATGAGCTGACTGACTCATAACCAAGAGATAATAGGATCAGATTCATCAGGGGGTCAATCCCTGGCTGGAATGGAGTTAGCCCAGTGAGGGGAGGAGAAAAGCTCCCCCACCTGTCGGATAAAAAAGTTTGGAAGCTGACCAGGCCAAAAAAAAATCTTCCAAAAGAGATAAAACTAGCCTATCTTGGTTGTTAAAGATTGTAAAATGGAGGCAAACTTAGCAGATAAGTTAAATTTTACAAAAAAATCTAAAACTAGGGGACATTTCTTTAGTTATGAAACAATACTCCATTTATTGTAGTTATAGATGAAACTTTAACAGACCCTTAAAATTGGTAATAGTTTTTTTCCCACTAGTGACATTATGCAGTGAGGAAGTTGAGGACTCAAGCATTTAAAAACTTGTATTTTGGGAATGGGTGCAGTGTAATGTGATATCACACAATGATTATGTGTGGGTTGACTCTTGAAAAATGATTAAATTAATTTAAATCTTTCCTTATTTATTGTCTTTCCACAACATATTACACATCTCTCCTTGAACAACCATGATAATCTGTCACTTTCAATTGTGCAATGTTTTCATTTTAAATTGCATATTTCAGTACTTTGTAAATAGGAATTAGTAGCATCGTGGGGGTGGGGGGTGGTGTTTACTGACCTACTTTTTTTGCTGTGTATAACCTCAGTACAGGCTATTATTTTACTTATCATTTCCTGTGGTCCAGAAATTACTTTGGAATGAGCCAAAATTTGATAGGTTTGCATATTATTTTGTAACTTTTTTGTTTTAAGCAATTAATAATAACATGTAGAGAATAATCTGTTCAGAAATGGATAAGGGTGTTAAAAATACTAATTTGTTTTGTTCACACTTTTCATTGACAATTTGTTAGAATTGGGGTCTTGAGAAAAATAATAATATGGAGTCCGCTATATCCGGGACGAGCAACCCAATTTGTTACGCACTGACTTGTATTGGGAGAAATTAATCTCCTATTTTAATTTTCATTGGCTCGTTGTAAACAGTGCCTAACAAAGGACGATACCATATAATCAACAATATTAAGGATACGACCCAAAACAGTTTCTAGTCACAATTAATTACGATTTATTATGTCTTAAGATAATTACAAAATAAAATAAAATAAAATTACAATCTTCAACTTACAGTATGGCAGATGTCGTACCGGTACACAGTTAATACAATTAGAAATAATGATGCCAATAAATAAGGCGAAATAAACACATATAAGTAGGAGCACACAAATACACAAAAGAATAAAACACGCCTCGTAATGTTAAGAGAATCTATATGAAATCTCCGTCCGTCGTCCGTGCCTGTCAATCCCTTATATAGGTGGGTCTACCGACGCCCAAGCCCTGCCTTCGAGACATTTCGAGAAAAATCCCAATCATTCTACCAAATACTATTTGGAACAGATTAATTATTTTCAGTGGCTGGCGGTGTAAACAAGAAATACATCAAAGACCTAAGCCACACCCCTTTGTGAACACAGCGTCTCATGCGGGGTCAATCAGAGGGCACGCACGAGAAATATTGTGTAAACAAGCTCTCTGTAACACCTCCCCTCTTAAAAGAAAAAAAATTCATTTTTCAAAAAAAATGGAATTCTTTTTCCATTAAAATTGAAGAAAATACATTTCTTACTCTCAAAATATTAGACAAAAACTTCTTAACAGCTTATAAACAATAACATAAGTGAAAATTAATTTCTGGACAAAGTATCTGCAATGACATTGTCTTTGCCTTTAATATGTTTGATGTCCAAATTATATTCTTGTAAAAATAGGCTCCATCTTAACAATCTTTGATTTTTGGAGACCATCTTATTCAAAAATGTTAAAGGATTGTGATCAGTAAAAACAAGTACTGAATGTAAAGAACAACTGACATAAAAATCAAATTGTTGGAGAGCAAGAATTAAACCTAAACATTCTTTTTCTACAGTGGAATAGTTTTTCTGATGTGAGTTAAATTTCTTTGAGAAATAAGAGACAGGATGATCTACATTGTGGTCATCTTCTTGAAAAAGAACTGCACCAATGCCAACATCACTGGCATCTACAGCTAATTTAAACTGTTTGTTAAAGTCTGGTGCAATGAGAACAGGAGCATTAGCAAGTATATTTTTAATGTTTTCGAATGCTTCCTGACAAGCATCTGACCAATGAAATTTTGCATTTTTCTTTAACATATTACTTAAAGGAGAAGCAATAACTGAGAAATTTTTGCAAAATTTTCTATAATAACCTGCCATTCCCAAAAATCTCATTAACTGTTTTCTAGTAGTGGGTGGTGGAAGTGATACAATAGCATTTATCTTAGCTTGAACAGGCTTTACATGACCTTGACCCACTATGTGACCTAAATATTCCACAGTTGCATGACAAAATTCACATTTATTTAAATTTACAGTTACATTTGCCTGCAAAAATTTTTTAAACAGAGATCTTAATTGGTTTACATGAGATGAAAAATCTTGACTGTAAATAATTACATCATCAATATAGGCGCTGCAATTTTCCTGGTCAGCAATAATGTTATTTACAAGACGTTGGAATGTAGCTGGGGCATTTTTCATTCCAAACGGCATTACTTTATATTGATATAAACCATCTGGAGTACAAAAAGCAGAGATTTCTTTTGCTCTGTCAGATAGAGGAACCTGCCAATAACCTGATAGTAAGTCTATCTTGGTTACATATTTGGCATCACCTATTCGATCTATAAGATCGTCTATCCTTGGAATCGGAAAGGAATCAGTCTTTGTGAATGCATTCACTTTCCTGAAGTCAGTACAAAACCTGTAACTTTTGTCAGGCTTTGGGACTAAAATACATGGTGAACTCCAGTTACTAGAGCTTGGTTCAATTATATCATTTTCAAGCATGTATTTTATTTCAGACCGGATTATTTCAAGTTTTTCCGGATTGACCCTATAGGGGTGTTGCTTGACCGGAACTGCATTGCCAATGTCAACATCATGTACAGCAATGTTGGTTTTATTAGGTACATCAGGGAAGAGTAAAACAAAATCTGCAATAACAGACTTAACAACATCCTTCTCTGACAATGACAAATGTCCTAGTTTCTTATCTAAGTTGGCCAATATTTCTGAATTTTTAAGTTTATAATTACCAACTTTTTCTGGGACACTATCAAAGGTTTCAGTAACATTTTCTTTAAGTACTGAAGTTACAGTTGAGATTGTGTTAACATTTGTTTCTGAGGATGGACAATGATCATCACATTTTCTATCAAAATATTCTTTTAACATGTTAATGTGACATAACTGTTTCTTTCTTTTACGATCTGGTGTTAACACAATGTAATTTAAATCATTGATTTTGGACTCAACAACATAAGGACCAAAATATCTAGCTTGTAGTGCTTGCCCTGGTATCGGCAAAAGCACAAGCACTTTGTCCCCTGAAGCAAACTGTCTGAATTTTGACTTTTTGTCATACCAAACTTTCATTTTAGATTGTGAATCTTTTAAATGTGTTTTAGCCAAATTAACGGCATTAAAAAGTTTAGTTTTAAATTTTTGGACATAGTCAAGAAGTCCTTCCGTGGGTGTCGATGACATCCACGTGTCTTTTAAAAGTTTAAGGGGACCGCGAACCGTGTGGCCAAACACCAGTTCGAAGGGGCTGAATCCAAGTGATTCTTGAACTGCTTCTCTTGCGGCGAACAGTAGCATGTTGATGCCTTCATCCCAGTCTTTCTCTTGTTCTAGGCAGTAGGTTCTCATCATGTTCTTCAACGTCTGATGGAATCGCTCAAGTGCTCCCTGTGACTCAGGATGATATGCACTCGACAAGCAGTGTTCTATGCCCAACTGGTTCATCACTTGTTTGAATATTCCAGCCTTGAAGTTGGTTCCTTGGTCAGACTGTACAGACTTCGGAAGACCAAACAATGTAAAAAACTTCGTCAAGGCTTTGACGATGTTCGGAGTCTTGATATTGCGAAGAGGAATAGCTTCTGGGAATCTTGTTGACGCACACATGATTGTCAGCAAGTATTGGTGACCTGATTTTGTCTTTGGCAGAGGTCCAACGCAGTCTATAATAACGCGACTGAAAGGTTCTTCGAATGCTGGAATGGGTTGAAGAGGAGCTGCTGGTATCTTCTGATTTGGTTTCCCTACAACCTGACAAGTATGACATGATCTGCAGTATTCAACCACATCTTTCTTGATTTTGGGCCAAAAGAAGTGCGACGTGATTTTGTGATATGTCTTCTTTACTCCCAAATGCCCTGAAAGTGGTGAGTCATGGGCTAAGTTCAGGACTTCGTTCCGGAATGGGGTAGGAACTACTATTTGATGAACTATCCTCCATTCTTCGTCAGCATTTGCGTCTGGAGGTCGCCATTTTCTCAAAAGTATGTCATCTTGAAGGTAATAACATATAGGGAATTGTTCAGCTTCTTCTTGGGTCAAAGCGTTCTCTCGAAGTTTGACTATTTCTGGATCACTCTTCTGTTCTTCAATAAGTTGCATTCGAGTTGGAGTCTTGTAATTACTAGCCTCTTCATTTAGACTTGCAAAAAATGTTTTTCCCAGGTCAATTTCAGGAAGAATTTTATTGCTTTTTTGTGAAATCTCTTTTGTGGAGATCTTGGAACTCATGGCCCTTGTCACAGCACATGCTGGATACAATTCTTGATCTTCTTCCTGATTTTCATTTAAACAAGGTTCATGAGTAACGATGGGCTCGGCTATCACCTTCCCACCAGCTAAGTCATTGCCTAGCAGCAACGAGATGCCGTCCAATGGTAATGTTGGTCGGACACCCACAACCACAGGTCCGGAGACTAAGTCTGATTTTAGGTTGATGAGATGTAAAGGTACATCTATGCATCCCAGCTCTACACCTCGTAACAGGATGTTGCTCCCAGTAGCAGTAGATTCAGATAAGGGAAGTATACCCTCAAGTAGCAAGGACTGTGAAGCACCTGTATCTCGTAAGATTTTGATTGGTTGTAGACTGGAAAAATCACCTGGCAGTGATACGAATCCTTCCGATATGAAAGGCATGAAGTCTTGTATGACATCAGTAGTTTCTGATGTAGAATTTTGGACCTTGGTAGGTAAACTCTTGTTGGAGTCTTGAGAACATTCGGCTAGGGTAGAGGAAGTAAAACTCTGGGTAGAGTCGTCAAAACTTGCACACAAGTCCTCAGTAAAACGCCCTCTGGAGGTAGACCTCTTCTTGGAGCAAAAGGATCTTGGCGACAAGCTCATAAAACTCGCAGTCGAAGCAGGAACTTGGCTGGAGTCAGTAAAACTAGCCTTATTGTTCCTTTTGAAACTCTTTGATGAGTCGTGACAAACCTCTTTGAAGTTTGTATGGACATCTGGAGAGCAAAAACTCTTGAATTTTGAAAATGTGTTTCCAGATGTATAACGAGACGTACAAGCGGAGACTTTGTGTTGTGTACCAGGATGTGTGGTCTTCTCAGTTTTCTTCTTGAGTTTCCAGCAATCATCCCTCGTATGTCCTTCTTTTTTACAGTAGGCACATCTGTCTTTTGCACCAATTTCTTTCGTACCGGGCTTGAATGGTTTTTGTGGAGGTTTACTGTAAGTTGATACAGCTGTCTTATTGTGCCTGTCATTTTTGGTGTCAGATGGATTCTTGGAAAGGTGAAGATGGTGAAGTCGTCGGCTAACACTGCTGCCGTATGTGCGTCACCTTCGCCACGGTCTGCAATATGTATTCGCACTTCAGTACGAACACAGTTCTTGAACTCCTCCATCAGAATGAGATTCTTGAATTTCTTGAAGTCTGTCTCGGTGTTGGTTGCGTGCAGCCACTTGTCCAGGAGCCTTTCCTTTTCCCGGAGGAACTCAACATGAGTCTGGCTATCACGTTTCCACAGTTCCCTAAACTTTTTACGGTATGCTTCGGGGACACATTCATAAGCCTTAAGTATTAATGATTTTACTAGGTTATAGTCCCCGCGCTGTTCCGCATTCAGGGACACAAAGACTTCAGATGCCCTTCCGGTCAAGGCTGGTTGAAGTAAGGTGGACCACATAGTTTCAGGAATTTTAAAATTTTGGGCAGTTATCTCAAACTGCGCAAAATATTGGTCAACCTCTTTTTCTGAAAATTTAGGGATTACTTTTGCAAATTTAATTGCATCGCAACCTTGACTGGCTGGAGCCGTGAGTCTATTTTCCATTGCTCCCAAATTGGCTGTTATTTCCATTTCTTTTAATTTGATTTGTAGCTCTTTCTGTGCTTCCAACTCCAGCTGTTTAAGCTCACGTTCTTTATCTAGCTCCAGCTGTTTAAGCTCACGTTCTTTATCTAGCTCCAGCTGTTTAAGCTCACGTTCTTTTTCTCTCTGGGCATCTAGTTCCATTTGTTTGAGCTTTAGTTGGAGCTCCATACTAGGATCAGTCGGTTGTGTGACTGAGGCCAGTTCATCTTCAGATAACATGTCTTCATCCACAAAGTGAACGATGATCATGTCTCGTATGGTCTTTTTTACGGCCGAATGAGCTACATTTATTTCTAGAGCTTTAGCAATGGAAAATAGCTCCTTCCTAGAACATTTGTCTAATGCCTCTACTGATGGGTTTTCAATATCAAAATCCATTTTGACACAGGCAAAATATAACAATGATTTTTATAAAAATTTAAGCTTAGTGCACACACTAATGAAAAAAATTGTAACCAGCTCTGTTGTTGGTGTCGTAAAATGGTATCGTGTACTCAAAATTAATCTGAGTATATAAAAGTAAACAGTGGGTCAAAATCCACAGAAAAACACTCAATTTATTATTGGTGTAATAAAAATTATGGATTAAAATTATCCTCGGAAAAGCCCACAATTTGTTAAAATTGGGGTCTAATGAGAATAAAATATGGATTCGGTTATCGCGGACGATGCCCCCAATTTGTTAGAATTGGGGTCTTGAGAAAAATAATAATATAGAGTCCGCTATATCCGGGACGAGCAACCCAATTTGTTACGCACTGACTTGTATTGGGAGAAATTAATCTCCTATTTTAATTTTAATTGGCTCGTTGTAAACAGTGCCTAACAAAGGACGATACCATATAATCAACAATATTAAAGATACGACCCAAAACAGTTTCTAGTTACAATTAATTAAGATTTATTATGTCTTAAGATAATTACAAAATAAAATAAAATAAAATTACAATCTTCAACTTACAGTATGGCAGATGTCGTACCGGTACACAGTTAATACAATTAGAAATAATGATGCCAATAAATAAGGCGAAATAAACACATATAAGTAGGAGCACACAAATACACAAAAGAATAAAACACGCCTCGTAATGTTAAGAGAATCTATATGAAATCTCCGTCCGTGCCTGTCAATCCCTTATATAGGTGGGTCTACCGACGCCCAAGCCCTGCCTTCGAGACATTTCGAGAAAAATCCCAATCATTCTACCAAATACTATTTGGAACAGATTAATTATTTTCAGTGGCTGGCGGTGTAAACAAGAAATACATCAAAGACCTAAGCCACACCCCTTTGTGAACACAGCGTCTCATGCGGGGTCAATCAGAGGGCACGTACGAGAAATATTGTGTAAACAAGCTCTCTGTAACATACCCCAATATTTGGCAAATAGATGCGCTTGGGCCACAAGGAAAAAAGTAGGTCACTGCAAAAAGATGCGGCCATTACTCAACGGATTAATATTTATAAGAAGAAGAGATGGTCCATAGACCATAGAAAAAAGCCATTTCATAAAAATCACAAAATTATGGCTCCAAACTAAATTTTGTTAAAAACAGTATGTAACACTATTGATAAAAAAAAAATAGTGCATTCAGTAAATATAATTCTAAATTGTATGTAGTTTTGTACCTTAGCATTCTTTACACAATTGTCACATGACCCATTGTGCTTTCCACATTCTGAAAGTACATAAATAAGAAAAAAAAATATAAATCTCATTAAATTCAGTTAAAAATAAATAACTGTAATGAATAAATACATGGCAATGGCACAAATAACAAACTGTAGTCTAGAAATGGCTTTGGCTCAATTTTGACACTTCAGGAGCATGGCATTTAAGGATAGACAAGATGGGGCACATTATGGATGAAACATTTAGTTGAATAAATTATTTCAATGTCATCGATGTTTTAAAGTCACTGATCCCATTTCAAATAGGGAATATGAAAACAGCAGCATTACAATTTTAAAGTCTTAGGGCACCAGCTCTGACCTCAAGTCAAAATTATCACTGGTTTTATCAAATGTTTCTTAACATTAATTAAACTAACTTAAAGATACATTGGCAATACATTTTTATTTGCTATCTAAAATGGATTTTTAATTGCCTGTGCATGGACTCGGTGGAAGTAAAAAAACATGGATCAGTCCAGTCCAAAGACAGAGATGTGGTGCAGACAAATGTCTCTGTCTCGATTGTTTCCTGCTAAAAAAATTATCAATCCATTACCACTTAATGAAATCTTGCATTAAATATCATTCCCTCTTCTTGCATTTGATATTGGAAGCATATAATAACAGAGTGTGGGATGTTTCAGTCTTATTAGCCAAACTTTTACCACTTAGTTTTCTATTTTGGATATCTCTGTTGTTCATTTTTTTATAATTTACCTGCTTCAGGAGTGAAAGTTGTTGACGGGGCCAGTGTAGTAGACTTTGTAGTTGAAGTTCTATCTGATGTACTTGTTTCTGTGTGATCTTCTGTGGTTGTATCGTCAGCTAATACAGAAAAGAAGAACAGCATGCCCAGAAGGAGGAGGCACACAATTTGTCTCATGTTGAACTCTTTTGTTGCTATAACACTACCGTACTGGTTTCAAAGGAATACAAAATAAAGATGGAATATTGGTCAAAATTGACACAGTTCTCTATAAACTTTTAACTAATAAAACTATGACCATAGTTTTATTGTTATACTGGATTACCGGTACCATTTAAAAGTTCAAAACAATTCAGTTCTATTAAATTAATAATAAGTTTGTTAAGCTTAAATTTTATGTATGGATTCAATCAATTATGTTTCTTGTTGGTTTAATATGTATTATTTGATTAATTTTAGGGAAGTGGACAATAATTGACAGGTATGGTGTATGCTTTCTACTATTGACTATTGAGTCCACCTATTATAGACCCAACCATATCATATGATGACAATGATGTGTACACAGGTGCACTGTAAACAGCTTTATTAAAAGACGTCTAATTCCATCCATGTTAAAAAAGAATTTATATTTATCTTCTTCACATGATGAATAAATAAAGAAGTTATATATTATTTAGGTAACGGTAATGCGTTTGTTCCATTATTGAACTTTTCAAAAGGAATAAAAAAATTTTTTTAAAATTAGGCCCATATTAAAATGTTGTATTATATTTCTTTAATAAGTTTTATCCCTCAATGAAGAAGTGCCTCAATTATAGGTATTTTAAAATTTTCAATTGTATGAAGATATATTAAGTAACTACAGGAGCTCAAGTTTGTAAACAGCATAATTACAGTAAGTTTTTATGCAGCTCTAATAGCTTGTCAAAAGTTTGTAGTCAATTATGCTTCAAATTCTGTTGCTGAAATTCTCAGAGCGTGCTACCCCAGCCTAGGGCTGGCTCACCACGCTGTACATACAATTTAACAAACATAATCATATCCTCCAGTCCCAGTTTTTAAGTCATGACATTCATCAGTGAATTAAAAATATAACTAGCGCTAATGTTAAAAGCAGTGGCTTTGTGCTTTAGACTTCAGATAAATCTGATGATGTAGACCCATGTTTAATTGTTGTCTACTCTTTTTTTTTTTTACTTGGCCACCATCTTTGTTGCTAAGACAGTAGACACATATCAGCTGCGATTAATTCAGGAGAATAGGGGGCTAATGTGAAGAGATAGCACCCTGACGTCATTTGCATGTTTTGTCCCTGGTTCCGATAGGGTCAAAAGCCAAGTTGGGGATAAGTTTAGGGTTCAGGTTAGGTTTAGGGTTAGATTTAGGGTTCAGGTTAGGTTTAAGTTAAGGCATTAAGTTCAGAGGTGGCGGCAAACGCTGTGCTATCTTCACATTTATGGAATGGGGTCACAAGGCAGGTATTGTGGAGGTGCAGTCCATTCCATTGTGAAAATACCAAAGGAACTCGCACTTTCAAAACATTAATCATTAATTAACTTAATTTCATATTTACTGATGAACTCATTGTATTGTAAGTGAACTAGTACTAGTAGTGTTCATTAAACAACAATGACAATGCTAATCAGAACTAATCATTCACTTATTGAGTAATTAACTGGTTTATGACTATTAACTATTAATTGATTCATATATGTCATAATCATTATTGAATTGAAATCATTCGCAATCCGTTCACTTTACTTTCACTTATTTCACTTATTAAGTCTTATTGTGACTTAGATATAACTTATAGTACTTATAGTTTCTGACTTACGAATGTAATTTTCATTATTCACAAACTAAATCGGTGACGATGGTGACTCGCTTTTTTATTTTAACCGGTACAGAAAAACTTAAATTTTACATGAAAACTAAATCATATAGGCTATTTATTAGGTATACCATTTATTATATTTATATCTGACTTGGGTTTAAAAGAAATATAAATAAAATTGAAACTTATTTAGTATGACTTCTGTTGGCTAACTACTGTCTGTGAATCAGCTTCCGCTTATTTAGTATTTAGGTAGTTTTGCGTAATTTCCTGTCGAAGTAAACATCAAACGCAAATTTAAGAAGTGAAACAAACCAAGTTAGAAAAAAATAATATCTCAAATTTTAAAATCTATTTTACAAAATATTGAAATGAATGATTAATTTTCAATATTTTCATATTTTTGAAGAAAAAATCACCATTTATGAGTGTATTGCGTAAAAGTGAAGTTAAAATAGAATTAAAACTCAATTATTTGCGAGTGATGTCCCCTGACAGTATCATTCTTTTGATTTTGATATTTTCATCCCTGCCTTACGCAATATGTCAACTAACCTTGCAGATGTATATAATTTAAAGTAGAGACCCAGCTTATGAATATGGATGGGCGTTAACAAATGCAATAGACATGAACTGACTGTTCAATTTGACTCTAGGAAGTGGAAGGTCGAAGTGGAGATCATAAAAATAAATAATAAAATTCGGTAAAAATCCCGGACCGGTCACTCATAAAAGTCACATTATGATTATAATAGTATTAGTATTAATACACACTTTATTCTTTATAGTTGATCATGCCTTATGATAGTAAATTAAATACTATTGCTACAACTATAATGGTTTCAATAACTGAGTTTGCCTTATTTGCTTGACTTTATTCGAGTATTCTCAGGATTGGATTATTGTCAGTCATGAGTCAGTCATGTCATTGTCATGACAATGACATTCTCAATCACAATCTCATTCGCAATTTCAATTGACATTCATTCAACTAAAAATACTAAAATCAGTTCAAAGAATTTTATAGGCCCAAGTTCTAGTCCTAGTCTACAAAACTAAAAGTACTAAGACTAAGGAAAAAAAGACAGTCTAATAAGAAGGCTTCTACTTCTAAATTTAATACTAATTTTGTTTATCATGATTGATATCGATGCTGAGTCTAATACGAAGACGAAGGCTTCTAAAGTTAATACTAATTTTGTTTATCATGATTGATATCGATGCTGTCAATCTCAATGACAATACTGTCAACTGTCATGTCGACTCATGTCTTATTCTAATTCTAATCTTAGTGTTACTGAACAATTACAATACAAATTAAAACTTAATTTATCCTATTTATAGTTTTAAAATGTAATGAAATGATTAAATATTTACCAATATGGTTCGACCAAAATTATGCAAGCTCACTCACACTGTCACATAAACTTACTCATAAACATTTATTTTGGTAGAGCAATGAACACGATGTCATGAAACTCATTGCTTGATTAATTAAACTTTAAAGTTAACATTTTTATTTTTATAAAATTTATGTGACAGGTATATTACTCACATAGGCATGCCTAACTTTTAAAATCTAAATTTGCACTAAATATCTGTAAAATAGGCCTATACTATATTATAAAAATGAATAATTACCGGTATCTTTAAAAAAATCAAGAGCATATTTAAATTTATGCTCAATAAGATGCTCAATAAGTTCCTCAAAAACTAAACATTAACATAATTAAATTTTAAAGATCTGATATGTGACTGTGGTAATATGGTATTCATGTACAGTTTTTGGTTGCACTGTAAAACAACAACATTTTCTTTAATGCTGTATCTTTTCAATGTGTCCCATTTAATAAAAATCCTCTCAATACAATTACATAAATGTTTAAAAAATACAATTACAGTATGAGTTTAATGGGATTTTTCCTTGACAAACATAAGAACCTTTTGTAGGGTTGGATTGAATATAATTATCAAACTTAACTTGCCTGAATGCAGTTTGAAATCACTTAAATTAAGAGAGAACATTTTACAGCAGATAAACTAGTGTTAGTGTTAGAATTCTACTTAGATTAATTATTTGCCTGAAGTACTATTTAAAGCAATATGCACTTGTCAATCTAAAAACAAAAACTAAAAAAGTTAAAGAGGATGCATCCCTTCTCTCCATCCCAGATTCTTAATATCAGCTTGATTAGGGTGCTGTCACAGCTGTTACAAAATCTAAATAATCCCTATTAAAGTCGGTATTATTACAAAATGGGAGTGAAGTTCCATAGTATTTCATGGCTGATTTTTGCACTTGAGAAATACTTTGGATGTAATGTGTTTATACTGTCACTGTTCTAGTTTAAAAATAAGAATATTTAGATCAATGAAAGAATCTTATATTATCTTACTTTCTTTTCTTCCAAATCAAGGTATGGTTTTTGCCTAATTAGATCACAACAATACATTTTGAAGTCTTGATTTGTTAATAATGGATGTGGACAAGATTCAACACAAACTTTCCAAAAATTTCAAATTTCAAGTGATTGCCTTCATTTGCTTGGGAATAATTTATGCTAGAGGAGCCTGGAATGTTTTTGGTGTCCTTTTTTTAGCTGGAGCAGCGGGACATAGCTGTGATCCTAGTAAGGAAATTGTTACCCGGAATGCTCTAAACCAGGAGGAGCTCCTACTTTCAAACAATGTGACTGAGAACTCTCTTATTATGCCTTTGTCTCCAATTAAACTGAAACCAAAGGGAACTATAGTGGAATCAAAAGAATGTGATGTTGTTGTGTCCATTGAAAATGGAACCAATATCACTCTTCCATGCACATATGGATGGGTCTACCATGGGGAATTTGAGTCAACTATTATAACTGAGGTGTGATTAAATATTTTGTTTTTTAAATGAGAATAATAAATACTCTTTTGGTTGTCAATAAGATATTTTAATTGAGCAGTTTATAAACTGCTGGGTGCTGTCCGTGGCTAGACAGGGGTAGATAGTACTTGGGTGGGTAAGGTCAAGCTTTTCACCAATTGTTGTTTTTAAATGTATTTGTTTCTGTAATTGCTAATTTTTATGTGAAGCACGGTGAACTTAGCCCTAGCTGGGGTACTGCGCCAAATAAAACCACCTAATAATAATAATAATAAACATTGGTAAAATCTCTTTGATTTAAATTTGATTAATTAAGGGAGGAGGGTGACCTTGTGTGGGTTTTTAGTTTCACCTGTCTTATTTTGTCTACAAAATATATGCCATTAATCATTAAATTTAAATTGACACAAACACATTGCAAAATAAAATAATTTTCCTCATAACAATTATTTTTATCAACAGTGGGACTTGGTATGTGTTAGAGCCTACCTCTCAGAGCTGTCAACAACACTTTATTTAGTAGGATCCATGTGTGGAGCTTTATTTATCTCAGCTTTGTCAGACAAGTTTGGTCGCCGATTGTTAGTCCTGATTTGTTTGCTGTTTCAAGCTGCTGTTGGTGCATGTGTGGCTTTGGCTCAAGACTACACAGTCTTTACAATACTGAGATTCATTGTCGGATTTTTCAATATGGTAAAAATATTTTGTATTTATATAAAATACGTAATTCATCTGAGATGATTTTTAAAAAAAAGTTTTAATTAAAAAATAAAAACTGGCATCTCAGTAATATTTTCATATTTTGGTGCTGGTATTCTTTATTTATCTCTGGCCAAGATCAATATAAGTTGATTTGATTTCTTTTTTAATTTGTTTAATCAGCAGGGTCTTTTTAAGTTTAACTATTTTTGTGCCCAAGTGTGAACATACATGTCCTTTTTCAAGTTTGATAAATCAGAATTTTATTACTGTTTGAAAATAGCTTTGTTACAAGTATCAGATAAAAGTGCATAACATATGATGACAATGTTTTATTTACAGGGTATTGCCCTGAGTACCTATGTGATGATGACAGAATTGTTCCCATCTCAACAAAGATCCATTCCTTGCTGTGGCTTGCAGATATTCTGGGCCATAGGCATTATGCTTACTGCACTCTTTGGGTATATGGTTAGGGACTGGCGACACCTGCAGCTTGTATTTTCATTGCCAAATCTGCCCTGTGCAATTTTTGTATGGTAAGTTTAAATATAACATACAAAATGGAGCATACAGGGGTTTTATATTTCATTTTAAAAACTTTCTTGAATAATTGTTAAAATATTTTGTACTCTTAAAATAAAATTTAATGACTGGCTTGATTGTATTGTATCAAATATATAGTACCGGTACCTTATGCCAGCATGACAAAAAGATTTTGTTGGATCTGGCTTGCAGGATAGGCAAAGCATGTGCCTTGTTTTCTATAATTTTATTATATTAATTACAAACTTTTTGAACTTGCACTCTCTATTTTTTTGGTGCTAATATAACAAAGATACAGAAGTGGTAAAAACAAAATTAATACTATGCATACAAGATTAGAGGAGCCTCCATTGCTCCTTGTTTTTTTCTTGATTTACAACTTGATGACCAAAATGCAGAGAAAAGTCTATGAATGAATAATTGGAGCATTTTAAATTTTAATTTTTTCAGGTTTTTACCAGAATCTTTACCATGGTTGATATCTCAGCATAAATACAACAAGGCCCAGTCAGTTATTGAAAGAATAGCAAGGTTCAATAACATAGAGCCTCCGTATGATCTGTACAGAAGTCAGTCCTTGCAACTCCAGCAGTGCATTGAAGAGCCTGACACATCCTGCACAGTCATTGAACAACCTCTCCTCTCTGGGACCTTGACCCACAGAGAGGCCATGACTTTGTTGGCATCCCCTGATGGCCATGGTATGACCCAGGTTAATAACGGTACATGTTCAGAGTGCATTGATGAGGTAAAGAATTCTGTTCACCATAAGCAAGACAATGATCTAATGCTTCAGAGAACAGAGTTCCAAAAGACAAATGATGGAACAATGGTTTCCAATGTGTCATCCTCGAGTGGACATCCTGACAAGAAGATGTCTGAACATACAAATGTTTTTATTTTGTGTACGAGGCCACGGATGCTGTTTTATTCATTAATTATTTTTTATCTCTTGTAAGTATTGTTATTTTCTCCCTTTATGCCAGTTAAAATGACATTTCTGTTGTAAAACTTTATCTTAGATATCATATGACATAATCTGGCAAAGTATTTTAGGGCTGGTAACTAGAAGTTGTGTGTGGCCCTTTACCCTAAAAGGGCTTGTGGCACCCTTGATTTCAGTTACTTGAAGTTTGACCAAGTTGTTACCAAGATTGATTTACATATTGATAGATACATGATAATAAAATGTTTTTCATTTACTATATTTTAAAGGTAATCATTAAATCAAAGGAATAAATTTTAATTTACTCTCTTTGCTTTCCCTTTCAGCTTTGTGAATGGTCTGAGTTACTTTGGAATTTCCTTAAGCACACCTGTTTTACATGGAAACCAATTCTTTAATTTGTTTCTCCTAGGGGCAGTGGAAATACCAGCATACATTCTCTGTGTAGTCGCGTGTGAGCGGTAGGAATTGACTTTTTCTTAAAAAATCATATGTAAACTTAGAAAGAAGTTGTGATTTATATTTGAAAAGGAAAAAAATTAAAATTTAGCTTCATATTGAATTAGCTTATTTGCGGAATTTAGAGGCCTTCTTCAACATTTGCTATTGTGTCATTTGTGTACTTGCTTGTTCATTACCCGTAAAGATTTTGTAAACGATACTTACTGGTCTTTTATATTTAAATTATTTATTTTTAACCACAGTATTGGACGTAAAATCCCCTTATGCCTGTTTCTCCTTATTTGTGGCATGATGAATATAACAGCAATGGTCATATCAGAAGAAGCATGTGAGTATAATGGAAGCGGTTATTTGGTCAGATAGTGTTAACTTTAAGTCTTAATAGACATCAGATAGTGTTAATTTTAAGTCTTATTAGATATCTGATAGTGTTAACTTTGAGCCTTATTAGACGTCAGATAGTGTTAACTTAAGTCTTATTAGATGTAAGATAGTGTTACTGGTAACTTTAAGTCTTATTAGACTTCAGATAGTGTTAACATTAACTATTCTTAGACATCAGATTGTGTTAACTTTAAGTCTTATTAGTCATCAGATAGTGATTTTTACCAGCAGTATAGAGCATTACACATCTCTTCTTTTTGTGATAATTAATACCGACATATCTTTCCTTATGTTCCCTTCACTTCTAGGGGATTGATGTCAAACAATTTCCTTCTTTAAGTTGAAGCAGTCTTTTTTTCCCTTACTGGTACATATATTAAACAGCCCAATATGGATTATTAGCCTAAGCTATAAAAACATTACCTTTATTATAGTTATTTTCATCACCCTTAGCTGGGAATATTTATGTCATCCGTGGTAAGTAGAGGGCTGATCATTTATTTGTCGATGCTGATTGATAGATGTAGACATTTCTTTAGTTGATATTATGATGTGCTTTTCTTAACCATTAGTGTGATAAAACGAACCACTGAATGATGTCATTTTATTAATTATTTGATATTATCAGCTTCTGCCATGAGTGGGGTGAGAGTAGCATTTGTAATGGTGGGAAAATTTGCAATCACTGGGGCATATACCACGGTTTACTTGTACTCAGCTGAAATATTTCCAACATCAATCAGGTAAACTAAACCACTTATCTTAAGTTAATAAAGTAAAATTACAAAAGTATACTATAGTTAAAAGCTACTTACTTTGTTAGGCCCTCATAATGTACTAGATAAAAATAATAATTTTTTAATAAGTATCAATTTAAAAAAAAATTAGATCTAGTACCAGTATTAAGCCCAACATTTTAAAAAAAAGATAAGATTGATAAGAAAACTGTAATAATTTTTCCTGTGTGTGGTCTCATTTAGCCAAGTGATTTAGTAATGAACCAAATCCTTTATTTTGTTGTTAGTTCATGAAACATTTTGCATTGCAGAAATCATGCCATGGGAATCTCTTCATGCTTTGAAAATTTTGGTAGCATTGCTGCACCTTTCATTGTGTTTTCTGTAAGTTTGAAATAGATTTTTTATTTGAAAATCTTCCTATCTGTATTAAAGTCATGTTGGATACCTGGCTGATGTAAGTGTAAGGTGTCTAATTCAATAAAATAAATCTTTTTCCACTTAATATAAAAAATGAATACATTATTACAGCATACAACCTTGCTTGATACTTTTATTTACATATTAAAACAATTTTTAAGTTCAAAACCCATTGCATGGGTGCCCCATTCTTGAACCCCATGTCACTGGAAATGTCTTCAAATATACTTTACTGGGGATACTTGACATTTCTTTAACATTATCAGTTCCTAGGAAAGGAAGATTAATAATCTTGTTACATTTTGAGGATTTTTGGGGACCCACCCTGTATGCTTTAAGCTAACTTTCCCTGCTGTACTTTACCTTGAATATTTACTTAAATTTAAAAATTATCTTAATCAGAAGGTTCAGGCATTTGCTTAAAATTAATTTCTACAGTGAAATCAAAACACATTTAATTGGATCAATAACAGAATCTTGTCCTAATTGTTTTCCAGGCCAAAGCAGTTCCAGAGCTCCCGATGATCTTGTTTGGTATTGTCTCAATTATTGGTGGTGTTTTGGTCTTAGTGATGCCAGAGACACATAAACGCCCTTTGCCACAAAATATCCAGGAAGTCGAATCATGGGAAATCTGTAGGAGGGGAAGGAAAGACTGATGATAGATGATTATAAGTACATATTTTTTTGAAAGTGTGACCAGCCGTCCATAGCTTTAGATCACATGTGTTTTAGCTATTTTACCTCTTTTTTTTTTAGAAATGATTGCTTTATATGTTTTTGATGCTCAGCGTTTCCAAAAAATTTTAAGTGGACACGTTTTGAATATTGCATTAGGGACCTGTTCCATATTTATAATTCTATCACATAAAAATTCATGTTGTATGGACTGTTAAAGGTAAGGCTTGCGGACGGACCACTATCGGTCTGCGGACCACTATTTGGGGTAAGCATGAAGATTTTTCTTAGCTCTGAGAAGTTATAGATACAATTGTTTCAAATTATATGGAAAATTAAAAACTCAATGGTACAGTATATTCTATATAAATATCAAACTATATTTAGTATTGCAGTTTGTGTTAAGAGAGTGAGTGGGGGGATGTTTTAAAAAACAAAACATTCGGTCATTTTCAAAATGGTTTTCTAGTATTTTCTCATTATTCTAAATTTGCTGTATTCAGTAGAATATATTCCTTGTGTTATAAAATTAAATTTACTTTAAATATGAAGGGAAAAATCTTTCTCTCTAAGACTTTAAATCATATCAGAATTGTGATACCAGTGCTTGCTAAAAATCTCCAGACATTCCTTTTATTGTTGTATTTATCATGGTATTTTTAGTTTAAAGAAATGTATCACTAAAGTTAAGGTTTCAAATGTTGAGATTTTCATTTTAAATTCACCATAAACTAATTTTAAGTTGCTAGGTGTGATTTGCACTTTTTTAAAGTTTGTAAAATAACAAAAGGCAATCAAATTATATATCTAAGAATTGATATTAGATGACAGAATCTCATCAATATTACTAATGTATTAGTTTTGTGGGGGGGGGGGGGGGTTAAATATTTTTTTTTTTTTCACCAAATTGGGCATTAAATGAATTGTTTATATTATGATTTCTACTGCTTTTAATAATTTAATTTTTCATATTTATTAAAGATTTTATTTATTGAGTAAAATAATGAACAGTATTTTACATATTCTTAAACTTAAATATTTATTTCTCCCAGATTTATTTATAATCCCAGATTTTAAAAAAAAATGCTTTATGTGCTATTATTTGTTCTATAAAAATATGTTAAATTTTTATGTTAAGGATTTTTACTTATTGATACCACATAGGCATAGTGGTCTGTTAGGTCCATATCTCTAACACTTCAACCAAACATAAATGAAATGTGAAAAAGTGACCATAGTTTTCTTTAAGTCTAATTTAATATTTAGTTTTTTTTATATCCAGCACATAAGTATAAATGATATCAATTTGTTGTGGCATTATAAAATTGGACATATCGCCTTTTACTTTTCTTTATTTTGGGTCAGTTAACTTTTTCAGAGGTTTGAAATTATCATTTCATTGGACTGTCAGGCTAGTTTCTTGATTTTATTTGTTACATCCTAGAATGAAATTCATTGTTTTTATTTTAATTAGTTGTAGCATACATCTTGGTTGGTTGTAAACTAAATTTTACACCAAAACATACTTTTTTTATTGGTGTACATATATGTACATCACAAAGAAATAAATGAAAATCTATGTTGAGTTTAATTAAGGTACATCTCTGTACATCATTGAACTGGTCATGTCTGTTCTGTCTACTCATACTCCACAATAGTCTTCCAGGTACGAATCTCTTAAACTTTGATTATTGTAATTGTTTTTTTATTTATAAAATCTATATTCTATAATTTTATATGATGTGAGGATAAAAATCGAATTTTGTTTAAAAAAATATGATAATGGTAACTTTGATTTTTTTTTAAAAGGCTAGTTGAGTATCATCAAAATATCGGCAGCTTTATACACATACAAATGTCTTGTGTTATTTCTAAATAGATAATTTCACTTTTTAATAGCATTTTTGGAACTTTCTGTTTTTTGTTAAGGATTGATGCATATTGCTGAAATGGTGAAAGTTTCTGTGATTAATTATTGTTAAATATTACCATACACCAGAGTTTCCCCAAATTTATCTTTTTTGTCTCAGAAGGTTACAAAATTAAAATTACCCTTTGCATGTCATATAAGTGGTGGATCTCCTATCCTCGATAATGGAGGGTACATTTTGGTACACTTTATTTGATAGATGTGGATTAGAAATGTAATGTCAAAATCAAAGTTATGTTCTTAACTAAAGTTGTAACGAAAGTTGTTTTTTTAAATTAAAAATGTATGTCACTCCCACTGCCTACTTCTCCACACAGTGTTTTAGTTCTTGAAACACCCATGCGATCATAAAATTTTGGATGAGACAATCTTAGGACACAAATAAAGTAAACATGACTGTTTTCTTTGGCTTTTTTTTTTTTTGGGGGGGGGGGCTCATGGCAAATGGGGGGGGGGAATCATAACATTTCACTCAATCCTCTCCCCTTTTCTTTCAATTGCACTTCATACTTCCGAACAAAATTGTAACACCCTCCACCTCAATGGTGTGACATCATATTTTTATTTTTTTAGGGGGTGGTGGCTCATGGCAAATGGGAGGGGGGAATCATAACATTTCACTCAATCCTCTCACCTTTTCTTTCAATTGCACTTCATACTTCCGAACAAAATTGTGACACCCTCCACCTCAATGGTGTGACATCATATTTTTAATGAACTGCATAATAAATGTGCATTATAAATATGGATAATTTATAAGTATACAAGTATGATTTTATAGGTGGAAAAATTTGCTGGTTGGATATTAGAATTAATTGTTTGATACCAAATCCGGAAATTTGATAGAAAGAAATTTCGTCAATGGTAAATTGATCCAAGGTAATTTGATCGAACGGAAATTTGGTCCAATCTTTTTTTCAGTTTTTACGTTAAAATTTTGCCTCAAATTTTTTTTTTACGCATTATTTTGTTTTACTACATAGTATAGTACGTTCAAAAAGAAATTTGACGAAAATTTTAACGTGTGAACTGAAAAAAAGATTCGACCAAATTTCCGTTCGATCAAATTTCTGTCTGCAAAATTTCTTTCGATCAAATTTCCTGTAACCGTTTGATACATATCTTTATATTAAGTTGTTGCTATGTTTATGTTGACTGCCTATATTTTTATGTATAGTCATGCAATGCACTTGACAGTTGAAAGGCATAAAAGATGTATTTCCATAATTAATATAAATATTAAAAAATAACTTTAACCTGATGTTCAATTGAACAGTATTTATCATTAAATGTGATAAAACCTGCCTAATTCAGCTTTATAAGACCATGACTTATACTACTTACAGCCGTGGTTTTCAACCCTTTTCTCATGCAGACCACCAAAAATAGGAGAAATATTTTGCGGACATCTGGTTTGGAAAAATAAAAACTGCTATAAAATAGTATTTTGTGTGTATTTTATAATATAGTTGGCTTCTTTGTAAGAATTACTTCAGTTATTGGTCTAATATAGGTAATTTTCTTGGTTAATTAAAATTATGACCAAAAATTCAAACTCCCCTCTGAAGGATTACTTATGTGGTGTATCACCATAGAACCTCTTATCTCTCTCCTTTGGTATGAGTAGGCCAACCTCATATAATTTAGTGAAAAGCATTTGTGAAGCAAGTGATCAAAGCCAAGGTCTTATAATACATCTTATTATTATGAAGTAGCTTACTCAAGACTTGATCAGCATGTAAAAATAGTCAGAGCAGTGAACATTGAATTGATTTTTGTTAAGATAGCTTGTATGTTGGTGATTCGATTCATGGTTTCATTTATTTAATTGTAGACAGATGAGAATTTAGTTGAATGTGGTTTAAAGCTACAAAGTTGTCGGTCACGATTTTTACGACAACGGTATTGAGGCTGCTAAGGTCATGGCTGGACATAGATTATGTTCATCATACAATAAGTGAGAAAAATAATTGGTTGGTGAATCTCTTTAAAAGATTCAATCACTGTAAATAATGGAATGTTCTCGTTGTAAGTGTAAGTGGTTAAAGACAAAAGAAGCAATGTAGGCCCTACTTATATATAAAATGACGTAGTCATATGTAGATTATCTGTTACTGTAAAAGTACTAGTCAAAGGAAAGAAATTGATGAAAAATACAAACTGAGACACTGATCCCATTTTGGTCTTCATTAAATATAAAGAAATATGTCATGTTATTGAACTTTGATCTTCCAACAAGCACAATTCCTAATGAAAACAAATTCTTTTCGCTGCAGTAAGCGGCCCCCATCCCTCTGGCTAAGTTAAGGCATTTAATTAAGGCTTAAGTGTAGCTTTCCAATGCCAATTTTTTTTTTTTAAAGAGTAATTTCGTTATGCACCGTTTTGTAAAACAAAAATAACTTGACTTGAATCTTTGTCTTTATATTATGATATAATTATATTATTAAATCTTTAGGTAATTTTAAAGAAGTTTATATGACTCAAGATTTTAAAATTTACAGGCAACATGAATTCTATTTCAGTGCTTGCGATGGTGACCCTTAAAGTAGCATAGCCTAAGCCTTAGGCTATTATGGCTAGGGTAATTTGTAAACGCCACGGCCACGGTTTACCCTAGTTACGACACGGTCGCCCCTGGAAGAGGCAGAGGGGGAGTTAGGTTAAGCAGAAAATCATATAGGCTTATGTTTATGATAGAGAAAATTATTACAAGAATAACACTACTGAAATAGATGACTGAATTTTACTTTTGAAAGTAGGCTAATAATAATTATAACGGGAGTCAAATTGTTATTTGCTTGTGGCCTTATTCTTTTCATTGCATTAGAGTAGTGTCCCCTTTCCGTCTGCCATTTGTCACATTTTATGGAATAAAATCAGTCAGTGTCAGGCTGCAGTAATTTTTCTGATTCGAAAATTGTGAGTAAATAACTTAACAACTTACTTTGCCACATTTTCTTTACACAGAGCAATGATTTATATTCACGTAATACTTGCACTCTCAATAACCATTGGAATTTTTCTCAATAACATTTTGCTTTTCAATTTTACACTTGACTTTGTCGACTTAGACTTAGACTAACTTTACTTTAGGGCCTACTTGCTAAATTCATAATTGTAGGCCTAATTTTCATTATTGATAATTATTTAATATTAATATTGTACCAAGTGTGAGTGACTAAGATAATGAAAAAGAAATGTAAGTCAAAGTCACAGTAGTCAGTAGTAAGTGAAGGCCGGTAATCTACCACTTGAGCGGCCAAGAAAAAATCGAGCTGTTCCTGTTTGAATTTGAAGAGCTATTTAAAAAACTATTATTATATTATTTTTAATGACATTGGTTGTACGTATTCATTCCCATAATAATAGACAATTTTTTTAAATTAGAAAAACTATAAAAAAAATTTTGAAATAGAAGATAATGTGTGAAAATGGAATTATGCATAGTTATCCCCCAAGTAGACAATGAAGTTTAAAAAAATATAATTTCCACGAAAACGGTTGTGGTACATGAATCCACGTAAATATGAAGGGGAAAGATCACTCAAACTGTCTTTTCAGTTTACGCTTTCTGAGCATTCACGTTCTCCACATTCTGTGTGTGGACATCCGCGTTAGCTAGGTTAAAAAAAAAGTAATTGTAGTCTCTCTTTCTTCCTGGCATATCGGTAGCTTGGCAGCAATAATTATTTAAATGTATTAGTATTGTGCTATATAACTTTATAGCCTCTATGCAGAAGCAAATATATTAACAGACTCCAATGTAAGTATAGTTGTTTAAATAGCCCTTCCAAACGGAACAACTGGATTTTTTCTTGGCCCACGCTGAAGTGGTAGATTACCTGAAGGCCTACTTACTTAGTTACTGAGTGCCCAGCAGAGGTGGCCAACTTAAACTCCAAAGGCTTTTGGCAAAGGAAGGCAAAGGGCTTCAAAAGCCAATTTGATCAGAAATCAGAAGTCCACTGTTACTGTTAATTGTTCTGTTCACTGGCAACATCTACTTAATTAATTAAAAATTATAAAATAAACACTAACACAATAAATGCACAACGTACATAAATATGTGTTTATTCCTAATGAATTGACACAGTCACACATCATTCATACTTATCAGAACAGATCTGATAACACATCCATTCCTACATGTACCACTGAAATAAATAAAATTCCATAGATTTAATTGAGTATAACTATAACTCTTTAATATTTGTGTATACTATAAAATTTATTAGAGTGTATTATAATGGCTTATATCATTATTGTGCCGGTACAGTGCCTTTGAGTTTGAGTGAAGTGCAGTGGGGAGGAGCATAAATCGAGGTGCACCAACTAAAGGCCCACAAGCAAAATTGTGGGCAGTGGGGTCAGTGAGCTTGAAAATATTTAGACCTAGTATTTTTTTTATCCCCAACAAAATCGTATTATAATTTTAAATAACGCAATAATATTTTTGTTATTTTAAATTGAACTGTAATACAAAGCAACCAAGGCGTATGTTTACCTTTCAAAACAGAAATCTCTTTTGGGCTGTCCATAAAGTACATCACGATCCAGAAGTGGAGTGGGATCTAAGAAAATTTGACAGTTTGTGACGGGGGTTTAAGATCACACATTTTAATTATTTGTTCATACACAGAAACTTGAAATTGACAATGATTTTAAACTTTTTGATGTATGTATTCTGACTGAAGATATCTTTTTTATAAATTTAATTTAATAGTTAAGTGTGCTTAAGTTTAAATTTGCATTATTTGTTAATTTTTTAACAATATTTATTTTGAAAGTGTGACATACTTTGGGGGGTGTGTAAAAAAAAGTATAAAAAAATTGAGGAAAATACTTTATGGAATGCATTTTATAACAAGGTAGCTTTGCTTTTCTATAAAATTAAGCAGGTAATGATCATTGTGTCCTTGCTCCCTTACTCACCCAAACCCTAGGCCTTCTGTTCAAAACTATTGTTACCCCAACCTTTATATTAACTTTGCTTTTGTGTGTGTGTTTTTACTGGGTGAGAAAATCTTCGGACTGCTAATTGATTCATTTCCCTTCAGCCTATTGAGCTGAAACTTGGCACATAGACTCGTTGCTGATAACAACACATGCTTTCAAATTTTCAGGCCCACCTCCCAACCCCCAAAAATCAATTTTTCCTGTTTTTTAAATAGGAAGATGAAGGACATATGATGTTGTTGATTTTACGAAATCAAATTCCTGATAACTGTGCTAAATGAGATTCTTACAACAAAAACAACAAAAACCCAAGTTTTTTATATTTTGCCACCTCAGATTTTGACAATATTTTATATTACCTTGTGACTGTTGCAAATAATCTTTTAATAAGTTCCTTTTTGTTTTTCCTATTTTTGCTTTGGATAGATTTAAATAATACCTGTAATACCAGATAAGCTTTAAAATGTGTGTGTAATTACCATTTCTCGCTGGACTGGATTTCTTTAAGTCTTGTTCCAGTTAAACCAATGCATCTACTTTAAATACATTTCTTATTTAAGGTATAACTACCACGTTTTGTTGATTGGGAAAAATGGTTTAATTTTGTAGTAGAAACAAGAAAAGGGTTTCATAATTAATTTTATTGATGGCTCAGGCATAAAATAAACGTTTACACTATTTTTCTAATAAATATTTAAAAGACTTTATAATGTAAATAAAAAAAAACTGACACAGACAACTGGGAGCCAAAACAACTGGTTAATATCCTGCATTTTTATCATAAGGGCTCTGAGATTAAAGGAAACCAAAATAATTGAACAATTTTACCATTATTTTTTTTTATTCAGATCCACTTCAATTAAATATGCTGAAAAGAAGTAAGAAAAGAGTAGGCTGGCTAAACAAAACAAACTGACAAAAACTACTGTGTTAGTCATCAAAGGGTGGCATATGACAAGTTGTTGTCTTTTGTTGACAAGATTTATCAATGAAGTGTTATTAAAGTAGGAAATGAGAAAACAACATTACTGTTTTAGTAACAATAACAAATAAAAATAAAGGATTTGTATAAACACAACCAGGTCATGGGAACCTACATTTCCACTAGAATCTCTTCAGTTTGTACTATGTGTAGAGTAATGAAAAACTAAATTCAGGTATGCCTCAAAATAAATTCCTGCATTTTAAATTTATCAAAATCCATCAGACATCTGCACCCACATTGGACGCCCTCGATTTCTGATCCTCCCACCCCAAATCAAAATCAAAGTGACTTTATTTAAACAAAAATGCCTACATAAATTTCCCCTGAGGCGATACAATACCTAGCTTGTTTATATTACATATCATTTATTGATAAAACAAGGGGGCCTCATTTTCAGGCTTTGCCCCTGTTGCAGCTTTTCCTTTGCGGTTGCAGCTTTTCCTTTGCACTGTCTTGGGTGGCAGAATAGTTGTGACCTTTTCTTCAGAAAAAATACAAAAACGGATCTGAGCTGATTTTAACTTTGGAAATGTAACTAAAATAAATTCTTTATGGCTCCCTAAACTCCTTAGTTGTTACATTAAAAGGGAATGTTCAGCACTGGGTCGTCCAAAAGCTATTAAGCCTACATTTTAGAATAAATATGTTTAACATTGTTTAATTAAATGAAAGAAGAAAGCTTGGCTAATTAAATTAAAATTATACAAATTCAAAATTTGTTGCTGTATTGCATCATCAGTGATTCTCTCCGCCTCCCCCCATCCCGAGAAGCACACGTTTCAGCTCAGATAACAGTTTAAATGTTTTTCATCAACTATAAACTTGCTATTTTTAAAACAAAATGGGCAGTCGTGACCAATCCCGACTTTAGCCCCCTCCCTAAAATAGCTACGATGTATACAGTATGTGGCAGGAAGCTCATTATCATTATCACAAAAACCAATCCAGCATAGGCCATAGCTGGAACTGGAAACATAGTTTTGTCTACTACAGGGGTTCTTACACCGCACCTCATTTGATTTTAAACATACCCTCACCCCTACCCTCAGATTATAAGTATTGTAATAAATTTGATATACATGTGAATGAAAATAATTCACTTGTGGGAAGTTATGATATTGTTCCTTCTTTAATTAGTCATTAGAACACACAGAAATGCACCAGTACACAGGGCCGTCTTAAGAACATAGGGGGCTCTGTGCACAGCAATGCACTGGGGCCCCAGCAACACAACACTCCAGGGTCGTTAAAAGGGGGGGGGGGGGCGAAGTGAGGCACTCGCCCCATGCCCAAACAGTAGGGGGGGGTGTCGCAAACAGTTGTTGCCCCCAAGCCCCAGCAACACAACACTCCAGGGTCGTTAAAAGGGGGGGGGGGGCGAAGTGAGGCACTCGCCCCATGCTCAAACAGTAGGGGTGGGTGTCGCAAACAGTTGTTGCTCCCAACTCAACTCACCCAGAGGAATAACATTGTAAAATAAGAATAAACCTTCACTAAAGTTCAAAATAGGTTAATTCAACTTATTTATACACAAAATTATGCGATAATGGTTTTAAAACATCAGAAATACATTATAATTCATCCCAAATGATGATAAATTATCAGGTTCTCCATTTTATTACTTAGTTTTTCTGCCTCATCACGCCTCGTTTTTTCTTTTCCTGATCAGTGTCAGCTAATACAGAGTCTAGAACACCTTGTATTTTTTTTTTAAGCGTTGACGGCATCAAAATGTGCCGACCATCTTGTGTCAGACAGATGCTTTACGACAACGAGAGATTTTTCTAAGGAAGATACCAGAACATTCCATCGATGGGTGAAAGCTGAGAAAAGGGTATATAGGCGCTGAACAAAGTCAAAGAATTTCCCAACTTGTAGACAACACTCTGCTGCTTTTAAGCCCACTAAGTTCAGGCTGTGTCCAGCACAAGGGATATACACGGCAAACTCGTGCTTGCAATCCAGAGTAGCGTCCAAACATATAAATTTTAAGCTTTTTCATACGATTGACCACGGAAAATTTCGTTTTCATTCAGGAAATCCAAAACATTGTCTGCTAGATCCTTTGATACACAACAGTGTTTGTTAGATCATTTGCTCCATGGGAAAGTATGAAAATTAACTTGATAAAATGTTCCACAGACTTAAATCCTCGAATGTACCGGACCGTAAATGTCAGTTGATCAATGTGTGAAATGTCTGAAGTGGAATCATAACTTATTGAATAATACTTTGACTCTTTAATTTCTTCCAGAATAACACAAAGGACATGTTGCCCCATTAGATCAATACATTTTTCTCAAAAATTTGCCGACAGATATGATGTTACCCTTTCCAGCATTTCCATACAGTTTGAGATACTCTTCCAAAAAATGGTTAAATTCACTCAACAGCTCTAAAATACCTAAACAATTTCCATTGTTTACTGACCCAATAGTTTGATCCAAACCTCTGGAGGCAAGAGGGCGAACAACATAGACCCCCACGAGCCAGAACTTTATGCCAGTACTTCTGTTTTGACCAATGATCTTTGATTAATAAAGGACCTAAATCTAGCTTCTTTCAGTCAAAGAAAATATGCAGTCATGTCCTTGCGATGCACTTCTCCATTTTCATGTTCTACAGTTAGATTGTTAAGTTTCCAGTACATAAATCCTGACATAGCAAAGGGAAATACTTTTTGGACAATAGACTACACGCAAAACAATACACCCTTGGTATGGTGAATAGAGAAGCCATTCAAGTTTTACATACTCGCCATTCTGCAGTTCACGTTTGAACATATTTCTTGATAAATACCTTGTCTTAGTTCTTTCTTCTCCAGCTCTGCCTGAGTTTGAAAGGTTGCAGTCATGATTCTGACACAATGATATCCCACCGCGACTTCAGTACTCAACTGTACAAGTGTTCATAATATTCCAAAGCCCGGGATCTGTGTGGTGAATCTCACACTCTCGTTTTCTGACACAGCTTTGTCTGTTCAGACTGACACGTGCCCCGCTAAAAACGAACATTTTGAAATGATCAATAGAAATGGTGCCATTAATAGAATCGATCTCTGTGTTTGAGCTACCCGGTATGTAAGATGAAAATGACGTTGAGCTTTAAACAGTGAGTACAAATTATGTCTTAAATAGAGACCGACCAAATTTCGGCTTTGGTTTTGGCGCCGAAATTGGCCATTTTATCACTTTCAGCCAAGTTTCGGTTTTGGCCGAAACTGATAGGTTAACTTTCGGCTTAATTTGGTTTCGGCCGAAAGAGAAAAGTTAACTTTCGGTTTTTCTTCGGTTTCGGCGGAAATGACTTAGACTTTCGGCCATCCGGCCGAAAGTGACTCAGGTTTTCGGTCATCTAATGCTCAGCGAAAGCGATATTTAACAACAAACTAAGCGACATATAAGAACAAATTAAGCGATCATTGAGAACAAACTAAACAATATTTAACAAAAAAACTAAGCGACATTTAAGAACAAACTAAACGATCTTTAAAACAAACTAAGCGCTCTTTAAGAACAACCTAAGCGATCTTTAATAACAAACTAAATGATCTTAAAGAACAAACTAAACGATTTTTAAGACCGAACTAAATTATCTTTAAGAACAAAACAAATGATCTTTAATAGTAAACTAAATGATTTATAATAATAAACTAAGCGATCTTTAACAGGAAACTAAATGCTTTTTAGGAACAAAATAAAAGATCTTTAAGAACAAACTAATCGATCTTAAGGAAAAAAATCAATTATCTTTAAGAACAAATTAAGGGATCTTTATGAAAAAACTAAGCGATCTTTAACAACAAACTAAACAATCTTTAAGAACAAATAAAGCGATCATTAACAAAAATTGGACTATCTTTAAGAAAAAACCAAGCGATCTTTATGAACAAACTAAAGGATCTTTAACAACAAACCATGTGATCTTTATGAACAAACTAACCGATCTATAGGGAAGAAAAACTGGGCGATCTTTAACAAAAAACTAAGCAATCTTTAAGAACAAACTCACCGATCTTTAAGAACAAACTAACTGATCAATAACAAGCAACTAACGTTCTTTAACAACAAACTAAACCATCTTTAAAAAAAACATAAAGCGACCTTTCAGAACAAATTAAGCGATCTTTTAGAACCATAACAGAACAACAATTTTTAGAGACCCGGTTTAAAAAAATAATATTTTGCATTAATTTATTCCCCCCTTCCATTTTTGCCAAATTTTCTCCTACCATACTAATTTTAAAAAAATAGTAAAGCAATTTAAAATACTTTTATATTAAAATGGTAAAATCCAAAGTATTCATTAGATCAAGGATCTCAAACTCAAATCATCAGGGGGCCCGCAGGAGGTAGTGTCTGAATGAGAGTGGGCCGCATCAAGTAATCCACAAAAAAGCGATTACAACTGTTACAATCTGCTCAACCTTTATAAATAACAATAAAATCATTAAGGGTTCTCAAGAACTAGGATTCACTTTCATCCACCTACTCACTGTTGCATACAAAAATATATAAAAACATTTTTTTTAAAAATCAGAATTAGACTAGTCGATGAGATTCGACTGAAACCGTCGCGGAGAGTCACGCTATAGATATGAGAATGGAGGAAACAGGCCGGCGCATTAATACTAAACTTTTCTGTCATGTAGCGGGCCGCAAAATATCGCGGGCCACGAGTTTGAGACCCCTATATTAGATGTTTATTTATTAATATTCACGATTATCTCATTTTTTATAAAAAGAATGTAAATATTTTTACTTTCCCACATCATTTTCGATGAATGCAGAATGTATGCGGGAAAGAATTTCAAAATATCTTAATATTTCGGCTTCGGCCGAAATTCATTTTTAACTTTCGGCCTTTTTTCGGTTTTGGCCGAAAGTCATTTTTAAACTTTCTGCATTTTTTCGGTTTCAGCTGAAGGTCATTTTAAACTTTCGGTCTATTTTCGGCTTTGGCCGAAATCAGAAAATCACTTTCGGTCGGTCTTTAGTCTGAATGCCTATATATTACTGCCTACAGCTCAGACATACGGTGACTGTTGGGTTCTATTTATCATCTAAATATGTTTTTCAGACACAGAATACAAAATATTTTTCTGTAGAAAAAATATAAAGTTATTTGTTTTTGTTTTTTTAAAAATAAGGTTACTTTTAAAAAGAATTATTCATTGGTGACCTACAAATTCATGATATAATGCTAATTAAATTCAGTAGTACTTTAACTGGTGCTAGGATAGATTTGAAGCAGAGACGTATCTAGGGTTCATACCGCCCCCCCCCCCCCCCCCGGGGCCAACATCTTTGTCTAACATGATTGTAAACAAATACTCTAAATTTATTTTTTTCCATTCATATCAGGGAGAAGTAAAACTTGTGGAATAGAGTTATTCCCCTTTTAAAGTTTATAAAGTATCCAACTTATGATTCGCATTTATAATATTAATTTTGGAAGTGCCAATAAAATAATAAAATCGTGGGTTAAAATTGGGAGACGTGCTTGTCCACTGATTTTTAAATCAAATTTAATTACCAAAACTTTTCAATATTCATTAACAATATTTACAACATGAAGCCTTTAAAAGAGTGAGTCTCCTTGAAGCAAGGGCCCCCCTATAAGCGCGGGGCCCTGGGCAAGTGCCCACTGTGCCCATGCCTTAAAACGGCACTGCCAGTAAATAATGCTCAAACAAAATTCAACACACAAAAAAAAAAAAAAGTTGCTACCGGTACTATTAAAAAATATGAAAATTAACCTGATTTTCCGGGTCTTCCCTCACTTTCTAACCCACAAATGGAAAGCTTCTCCCAGTGTTGTTGCCCCCACCGCATCAAAAAGCCAAACAGAAATAACAAGCTGATTTATTTCACACGGAACCTACCCAAAAGCAGACGTGAACATTTTTACTGTATTTATCTATTCATTGTGCCTGGTGCTGTGGAATTTCGAACTTATATCCTCTTGCTTCTATATTGGAACTTTCTTGTACGGTTTTAAATTAAATGTGTGCGTGTGTGTGTGGAGAAAAAAAGGGGGGTGGGGTGGGGTTCAGTTAGTTTGCACGCGCTCGTCTTGTACAAACACAGACTTTAGCCTCAGTGTCAGCGGGCTATAGGCAGTTGTAACCTTTAAAAAACAAAATGTTTCTACATTGACTGGAAGAAAGTTAAACGCCAAGGTCAAGTTGTAATATTCATCAAACTCGAATCAGTTTCAGTTTGTAGTCGTGTCAACACTGAACATGTAGGCTATCTCTTACTTGCAGGGAGGTCAAAGGCACAAACATTTAGTTGTGGATCGACGGTATCGTATTTATTTCAGTCTTGACATTTCCTCCCGGTGGATCGTGCTACGTTTGAAAGAAGTTTCACCTGTTGCTGTAGTATCCATTGAACATGAGTTCAATGTAAAGTACAATTTTTGCATTTTTAATAAATAGTGTGGAGCATTCATTCCTCTGCTGTTTGGACTTATAATTTAACATGTGACTTGCTTTTCTATCAATGTTTATTCCGGTGGCTGGGACTAGGTTGTGCAACACATCAAAGCAGAATTCAGTGGTAAAACAATAGAAATTATCTGTCATAAGAAAAGTGTGCACGTTTGTTTGCTCAGACCAATTGTCGGCAAAACGCGGGTCGCGAGCCACATGCGGCTCTTTAGCGACCTGAGGGCGGCGCGGCCAGCCGGCCTACAAATCGGTTTTGACTCCGAAAAACATGGTTCTTGACAGGTTCTTGAAAAGAAATGTGGCTCTAAAATTTTTTTAAAATCGTCCTGCTTCTGATTTTTTAAATGAGTAAAACAGAGTAGGGTTACAATTGAAAAAAGAAATGCAACAAAACAACGAACGTGTCAGCAGAAAGCCTTCGTCAGCGAACAAAACAACAGAAAAAACGGTATAAAACTAATAAATAGCACTTAGCTTAGAAGTAGTATCCGTGGGCAGCAAAAGAAATTTCTATTTAAAAAAAAAAAAAAAAAAGATCTACGATTTCATTAATGTAATATTGATAGTGAAACTAAAAAAAAATAAAAAAAAAGAAAAGCAACAAAACAACGAACGTGTCAGCAGAAAGCCTTCGTCAGCGAAAAAAACAACAAAAAAAACGGTATAAAACTAATAAATAGCACTTAGCTTAGAAGTAGTATCCGTGGGCAGCAAAAGAAATTTCTATTTAAAAAAAAAAAAAAAAAAGATCTACGTTTTCATTCATGTAATATTGATAGTGACACTACAAAAAAATAATGTTAAATTTGCACTAAAACCATGCTTGAGGCTATTGTCTTTTAAATAAGGACTGAATCCTCGCACTTATAGATTTAGATACATATATACGGGGCATATAAATTAAAACAGTATTATTTAAAAAAAAATAAAACATCCTGTTACAGCTTGCTGTCCTTTTGAAAGGTAATAAGGGGAGAAACTGCACTCAGGTTGGCAAAAAAGAAATGGGTAAAACAAAGCATGGTCAAACCTGAAAAAAAGGAACGCAACAAAACAACGAACGTGTCGGCAGGAAGCCTTCGTTGGCGAACAAACAAAAGAAAAACAGAATTAAATTTTAAAAAATAGCATCTAGCTGAGAAGTAGTAGACGAGAGGGCAGCAAACGAATTTTGACAGAAAATAAGTATGTGAGAGATTAAATACAGATTATTTTCTGCCACAATTCGTTTAAAAAAAATTTAACTCTGTATTTTCTATTGTTTGTTCGCTGACGAAGGCTTCCTGTCGACACGTTCGTTGTTTTGTTGCTATCCTTGATATGTATCGTGGGATTTTAATCTTAAACTCTACAGTAGGAACCTGGGACAGCTCAGGTAAGGTATTAGTAAAGAATATAATATCGCGCGCACTACTGGAGAGCGATCTAGCAAGTTTTTTCGGAGGTGTTCTTTTTGTTTTGGTTGAGTTGGCGTTTTTCTCCTCTCAAAAATAGAACACATACTACAACCTAGTTACCACACATTTCTTTCGTTATGCAACTCCTCCAGTGAAGATGCCCAGCTCTTCTCCCACCGACTCTCACCCCAGCATGACGTGTGAATCTGGCAACTTGGAAACATTCCAACATGACTACCACCCCTGTCATTTCCTCCACGCGATTGTTTAATTTATTGTATATACAGCGACCGAGATCTGGTGACTTATGAATGCTTCATTTATTCTGGAGTGGGGGGTGCATTCACCTAGCATAGTGTCCAATATAGGTAGTAATCAAGTGTTCATCATCAGCAAGAAACTATTGTACTGTACCCCCACCCCCAGTTTATTTGCCCCGAAATATTTTAAGTGGGCCGACATTTATTGTATAGGGAACTTGTTGAATCGCACATATTTTATGGCAGCATTTTCCTGGCAATTAAGCGAGAGTGACAACCACAAGCGTTGAAATCGTCCATTTTATTTCTTGGGATTCCCCTGAATACCTGTCGTCTAAGTGCATATAAAAAATGTAAAAACCGCGCGCTAGCTATTTTATGTTACATACATTTGGGTGGTTACGCTTGTTTATTTTAGCGTCCAATTATTCACAGAGAGATTTTGACGACACCCCCCCCCCCCCTTTCCCGGTTATTGGTTAAAGATATAGTCCAAGTGTTAGTGTCAAGTTGAGACGGATGATTTGAATACAGCGTAAAATTAACTATTAGCCCAGTTAGTGCTACCAACCAAAGTATTTGTAATATTCTAAGTTGATTTTAGCTCAGGTTCTAATTTATCTTTTGCCTCTATCTGAAACCCTGGATAATTTCAGGATGCCATGGCCATAGGCTAGAAAACAATTGAAGGGAAATGCTTTGATGTCCTGTAAAGTTACAGCTCACACACAGCTGATATAATAACATGTCAAAATGTGGATAATTTAGCCCTTACAACATACCGCAGCCAGAACACGGTACTTATTTGTTTCCATCAGCGCTAGGAAGATTAGACTTGCATTGTCAGCCACATGCGAGCAATTTGACCCGATTCTCATGTTGTGAAAGCTCAAAGGCTGGGAAGGTATATGTGTTTCTGTTGTTTTTTTTTTTCTTCTGGAAATTACTGTGAGTTGTGAAGATGTTTGTATGCCACTTCTGAACTGGACAATGTATAAGTAATTTTCTCACATAACTTCAATTCACAGGAGAACTATATTGTTTGGTTAAAATGTATTATCATTTATCTTTTTTTAAAACCAACCAATCTTGAATCATTGGCATGGCTTGGGTTAGTAGTGCTGCCCTGGTGTGAACGCCCCCCTCCCCCCTCCGCACCTCCCCCCTTCCTACGCCACGACAACCAACCTGTTTTTCCTCTCATTTAATTTATAAGCTTTGTTTTTCATTTGTCGTTACAGTGTCGTTTCACCATTGCAGGGTTGCATGAAGATATTTCAGTTCAGTGTTAACTATTTTTTTTGATCGACTAAGAAAGCTATATATGCTATGAGTAATTGGCCTTTAAGCGTGTAAACTAAAAATTTATACTGCTTTCGAAATTACCATTTGTTTTAATTATGAAATTATAATTTATTTATTTAATATTACTGTTGTTATTTTGAACTTTCTCCTGGCTTCTCTTTATATGAAAATTAAAAAGGGGAAGTATTTTGAGTTCATGGGGTGATGAGTCTTTCTGACACGCAGAGCTTGACAGTGTAAATTTAGGAACCCGTATTGACTGCAGGACACCCTCGCCCTCCCCCCCCCCCTTTTTTTTTTCCTGTCAGTACCTACTTATTATTATTTTGTTTAAAATCTATTTCTTGATGATATGCTCTTTTTTTAATTCAGTTATTCTGTTCAAATAACATTGCTGCGAATCGAGTGTCGCGACAAACGTTAAAAACTACACCAAAGATATCTGTAACGTGCAGCCTACACTAATTTCGTCAGCTGAACAGCCCTGTCATTATTAACCCACTTTTTATCCCCAGACCGCACACAGGCACGTACCCATATGCTGGGTGACCGGCGTAGGCCTACATGCATTGGGGCTTAGCTTCATGAGGTCACAATATCTCAATCTTATGCACTAAAGGTTTCTGCATTTTTAAGCTTTTGCCCTACGTAATATTATGAAATGAAAAAAGACGTTAACTGCCTGTGAATTGCCTATATAAATACGTCATACTTTGTTGTCTTTTTAGGACCCAGGTCTCGTCATATATTAAGTCATTAAGACATCAACCCCATCCCCACTCTTTTTTTCAGGTTTACGTAATCATACCCCTTTCACTGTTCTTTAGGGAATACTAAAATGAAAATGCACCATTTGAGTTATAAGGATTGCTTTAGCATAGCAGCAGTCTGGTCATTTGCTTAAAAGCTTGATGCAGCATATAGATACCCCCACCCCCGGGTAATCTGATGGGTAAAATTTCAATTATATATGGCATGAATAGCAGTTAAAGTGGGTTGGATTGCAAGACTCCGACAACAGTTTGTGTATGCGTGAGGCCACCCACCCAACCCCTGCTAGTGACGAGCATTGTGTCCTTGCTCCCTTACTCACCCAAACCCAAATTCTAGGCCTTCTGTTCAAAACTATTGTTACCCCAACCGGATTTTATAAACACATTCATTGTTATAGCATAGCTACTTGATGGAATTCACCACGACGTGCATATTTTATAAAGGAAAAAAAGGGGGGTTATGTTTTGTAGATTCACTCCTGCTGACACTTAAGACCAATATGCACCAATACTTTTCCGTGCACTTGCATATCTAATCACGTGACACCATTTTTTCGAAACCTTTCAAGCTTTAAATTTGTTTGGTGTAGTGTGTTGTATTTAAATATTCCTTTACACTATGGGAATTGTCTCAAACCAAAACCACATCAAAACCGTGAGTGGTTTTCTTGTGTATTTATAGCAGCTAGGTTATGACATGTAGGCTTAATTCTGTAATAATTTCATCACATGCTCAAAAAAAAAAAAAAAGATTCCTGTTGTATATTACACAATCATTGAAAGAGGTAAGATTTTTAGGGAAATGTCTCAAACCAAAACCAAAACAAAACCGTGAGTGGTTTTCTTGTGTATTTAAAGCAGCTAGGTTATGACATTTAGGCTTAATTCTGTAAAAATTTCAACACATGCTCAAAAAAAAAAAAAAAAAAAAAGATTCCTGTTGTATATTACACAATCATTGAGAGTGGTAAGATTTTTAGTTGCATGTAGCTCTCAATGTATAGCCAAGCGCAGTGGTTTTCAACCTTTTTAGTGCTGCAACCCTTTGATTACATAAACATTTGCCAAGTTGTGGCATCCCACCACCAGGATATTATATAATTAATAGTTATTTATAAAAAAAAAGAAGAATTTTTACCTCCAGTTTTGTTGTTATTCTTTAAAATATTCAAAGGGCTAAAAGTTTTGTTTTAAATCTGAATCGTACAAAGAAAAATTAAAATTTAGAAAATTTCAGTAAACTACCAACTTTAAAATGGAGGACAAAAAAAATAAACTATTTTTTTTTAATATGATATAATTTAACAATTTTAAAAAATTTATTAAATGTAGTTATAAGACATCTGTTACTTGACTCTGAAATACTTAGAATCCACAAGCTCAGTAATTCCAATCCAATGGGGGAAAAAACAGGATCAGATTTGAAAAAATTATTTTCATCTTTTGACCATGCAGCTGAGACTTTGAAATTATAAATTGGACTGAATAGTTTATAAACAATCATCAAATGTGCTGACAGAGGTCTGACAACTGTTAAACTTCACAACCCAAATCTGTCATCACAAGTGTGCAAAATAAAATTGTGAAACTTCATTTTGAATTAGATTTTTAATTAATTTTTACAAATATTTCTTTATTTTTTATAGAAATTCTAGTTAAAAATTTTTTGGCTCTTTGAATCTTATTTATTTTTATAGTAAACTTGACAACTAAATATATTAGAACTTAGAAAACCATAATGTTATTTATTTAGCCCAATGAACAAGTTAGGTGTTTACCTTTTTAATTATCTGCTTTACATGTATTATGAGCATCTCTCTGTCGATTTAACACTAAGGGATATAATTGTATTTGCTAGTTATATCACTTCTTTTTTTTCAAAATTCATTCTTAGTGTAAATCATCACCTATGCCCTTTAACTAAGTCAACTGAAGTGGTTGACAACCATTTTGACAACATGTTTATATAGTTCTGAATACTTGACACCATTAAAACAATTGTGTTTGTGGGGTACTTATAGTAATAATTTGCCCAGTAGAGTAGTAGCTAGAGTTTTTGACTCCTTTGGTGGTCCTTGATTGTGTTGCCCCTAATTAACGAAAACTGCAATGCATACATAATACGCATAATCAAAATTACCTATGTAAAGTATATTAAATGCATCTAAAAGTCCCCCAAAAATAAGTGACAGGCTTTCCACCCCTCTCTTCCTACCCCCATGCATTGGCCAATATATTTACTCCTTTCTATCACACTTAAGATGACCAATTGTAGTGGATGCTTGATGCTAATTTTTGGTTACAGCAACAGTTGCTTTTTTATTGAAGAGAAAATGAGAAACAGTAGTTATTTGTATAAGAAGAAATTTAAAACTACTTTAAAACTAAATTTTGTTTATATTTTGCAGCCACCTAGGATTATTGAGCAATATGACAGTAGTTTTCTCTGAACTAATAAAACACCTTCAGTAAGCAGACATGAGTGAACAAGTACAATTGATAACCTTTGGAAAGAGGGACCCTATGTCATCATTAGATCGATCAGGGGATGGAAACAAGGTCTTTGCTGATCCCTGGCAACAGTCTCCTTTGTACAAAAATGGGTCTGTGGGTAAGTTTTGAGAAGCTTCATTCATTATTTTGATATTTACTTATATTTACGTTTAAAGAAAGTGTAAATATTAATTAGCCATGACCCCTCCTTATTAAACTTAATAATATACTGTGGTATTTCCTCTTACATTTATATATTGAAGTATTTTATTTCATATTTGGCATGAGATTTCAATTAAAATTTAAAAACCTTGTGTTCGGTTGGCAGAAATTGTGTTTTTAGGGTTGTCCCTTTGCTTTTGCCCTTTAGAAGTACTGTAAGAGAATGGCTACTTAATATGTTTGGAGAGTGAGAATAGTATCACAAATGATGCTATAGCAGGTTTATGTTTACACACCAAAGAACTAAATTAAGGAAGAAAATCCTAAGTAAACATGTAGTTTGCATTTTAAAAAATCCAAGTAATTGAAATGGACTGGATGTAAGTATCTTTTACACACACTGGGACTTCCAAGCCTATACTGTTAGCTCTACCCCAGCCCTCCACCTTGGCTTTGTAGGAATTTAATGAATTGAAATGCTGATAGCAAATAATAACTAAGGAAAATCTGCTTCAGTGGAGCTTTTTATGTCGACCAATGTTGAACCAGCATGTTTTCCTCAACTTGTTTTTGATACCCCATGATTGTTATTGCCAGTTTGAGGTTATTTTTGGCTACAAAGCTGAAGTAAATCTTGTGGAAAAAGGCTTATCTAGTGTTTACCCTTGACTATGGATTTTAGCCATAAGTTGATGTTTTCCAGCAATATCATATGAACCCAAAATTTGAAAATCTAATAATTATTTCTAATGATTTCTTGATATTTCTTGGGTAACTTCTGATTGCACAATTTTCTGAACTTGTAATTGTGATATACCGGTACAAATAATTTCCTCTTTTCTTTATTATAAAATATAAATATGAATTGTTGAAATTAGGTTGAAACATTTAAAGTGTATATATTAACAATTAAAATTTCTACACTGCTTTTTATTGCCAGAGATTATACAATTTATTCATTGGGTTGTTAGAGCTAGTGTCCTGTTAACTTTTTAACTCCCAAGAAATGCAGACTGATTATCAGAACTAAAGCAACTGCTTTCTTGTCATTTATGATAAATAAAAACAAATCATGCACTTTTAGTGGTCAATTGATTGGAAGAAGAAATAGGACCTCATGTTCTCCAAGTGAATGATATATTGAAAATCAGGTTTTTAAAATTTTGCTTTGATTTTCATTTTATGTTTTATCTGGTTCTGTTGTAACTTCTTTCTATCAATATTACATCATTTGGCATAATTTTGAGCCACCATGGCCCAGTTTCTAGTATATCCAAAATAAAAATTTCCCAACTCAAGCATTTGTTTTTTAACATTCATAGTGAGCCTGCTTATCCCACCTGTGGGGAGAGGTGTTGTGTGGACATATAGTTTCCTGGCATTTCAACACCAACACTTGTGTTTTACATACTGTTGTCCAGCCAACCACAGAATAAGCATACTATATCTATGTATATAAGCTTTTCTATTGAAGAATAAAAATAGTTGGCTAGAATGGTAAAACAACTGATTGTAATATCTTCGTGCCCAAAGTTTGCATGTTATTGCATAAATGATTAACAGACCTTTAAATAAATTTATCTTTAACCCTTCACACAGTTTGGCAAGCAGCAGATAATATTTGCAATAAAAATCAATTTTATTATCAGCCTTTTCTCTGATAATAAATTTCTTCTCAACTCAGTTCAAAACTATGCCAAAAGCATTTACACATTAATATAAATGCATTAAAAATTACAGGGGGATTTGAAATAATGTAAACTTATTGAAAAGGGATTAAAATGTTTCATATTTTTGGATGATACAGTTAACAAAAAAGAATGCTTATCTATTTGATTTTGCATGTATAGAAATTCATTTATGGGAATAGATCTTTACACACTTGGGAGACAATATTTTATACATGAGTCAAATTCATTGAGAACTCAGACCCATCATGACCGCCTTTTTGAAGCAATACAAATATCGTAGGTCAAATAAACATCAAGCTAAATTATGCATTGAGAAAGGGATGAGGGCTCCATGGCTCTATGAGCATAAACAAAAGGTGATCTTGTTGAATAATTTTGCAATTTTACAAATGTATAGCAATACAAGGTTATGATAAAAATAGTTCAGATCATCAAACTTATTTGACAGCAACTTCATGCACTTCCTGTGAAAAAGCCCCTTATTTTTTCTTCATCAGCTTTGATTTATTGCGAGACAGAATAAATATCACATTGCTGTATTCATATTACCTTATTTCATTTAGATTTATTCAGTTTCTTCACCACACACTTTTTTGCCAAAATACTGGTTTATAAATTTGACTGGCTATTAATTTTACTATCCTGCAATAAAGGAAAGAGCAAAAATAATAATAATTGTTGTTGAATAAGGCAAAAACATTGGGCTGTAGATGTATCAGTGTATCAATTGCCATACACATACATAGTTTTAGCATATTTATTCTATCTTCAGTTTATCACTGTTTGTCATGTGTCACCCCTTTGCCCTGATGGCTTCAAATATTTTATTTTACTCCAGAATCCTCAGCATCTGAGCGTGAACGATTTCTCCCCCCTGTTAAACTTGACCCAGGTTGGGACAGCATGCCAAACTCAACAGTCGGCATTAAGAAAAGTTCAACTGTCCAGCAGATTGAAGAACTGGAGAAAGACCCTCCAAAAGACAGGTGATTGACTAGTAGACACTAGAAATGCAGTATTTTCAATGCCATAGATTGTAAGACAGTATTTTTAATGCTATTGCTGTGCATGATCACATCATCTTGTTTTAACTAACTATGCCGGTTATTAACCCTCTTGAGACAGAACCTTTTTGGGCTGTCTGTACCAAGCAGACATGCTTTTCACAAGCCCTGCACTTAATTTTTTTGAAATGGATAAAAATAACCTGTTTATTTTATTTAAAATTATATATATTCATATAGAGAATTGAAGAGCTAATGCGATCTTTATAAATCAAACTGAAATCTCAAATTTGCATAATTTGTGCATGCAATTACCTTTGACATCTTTTAATCATCCAATAATGGAACTTCAAAAGTCATTAACTTTTTTGTAATATTGGTGCCAATTTTATTATTAAAGTTGCTTTATTAAGGCTGTTACAAGTTGAAATACAAGTATGTGAGGTCAGAAGAACTTGAAGAAGCCTGAATATAATTTTTTAGTGTAGTTCAAATTTATCAAACTTGTTTTATTTTTTCCTTTTTATTGTGGACTTACAAGTTTTTTTTTACAATTTGTCTTTATTCTCAAGGCTTAACATTGTGTACATTGTCATGATCATCCATGGAATCGCCATCCTCATACCATGGAACATGTTTATTAATGCTAAAGCAGTAAGACATTTTACTCAGTCTTCTTAAACATTGTTCTTATTGTTACAAAATTTTCATTTTTGTAACTCTTTGATCTCTACTTCAATTTTGATTCTATAATAATTGTGTGCAACTTGTAGGGCTTGTTGTATTTACCTTGATGGTCCTTTAGTGACACAGATTTGACTCTTGACTGCTAACTAAAGAAACATTTTTATTAAAGTATTTTTATATATTAAATTATTGATACTTAGGAACATACATGTGCTTGTTTTATTAGGCTAAGGTTTGCTTATATTTTTTTTTATCCGTCCACACTAGTATTTTGAAAACTACAAGCTTCAAAGCAACCAAAGTTCCCCAGCTCTGATAGATTACAGGACCAACTTTATGAGCTACATAGGGATGGCATCACAATTCCCTAATTTCCTCATGAACATCATTAATATATTTGTACAGTGCGGAGGGTAAATTCAATTTTTAAGATTTTTGTGTTACCTTTTAGGGATGAGAAAAGAAGTTATCCAAATTTTTTTATCCCTAAATTATGAATAGTCTAACTAGAGTAGTTGTCTTGTCAAAATACGCTTGAAACTAAATTCATAAATTAATGTATTACTATCTCCTACAGAAACACGCTTGGCCTGCGAGTTCTTTCAGGCATCATCATTACAGTGATAATGTTTGTGCTCACAACAGTTTTAGCCATGATTGACTCTTCAGAGTGTAAGTATATCTTTATTTATGTTGTATGCCCACTGCTAAACTTTTATATGTTTTAGAGTTTAATTATTAAATTAGTTACAAAAATTCACATCAGTTATAATAAATTCATATCAACGCTTTAAAAAACATGAATATAGTGTTTCTTCATCTATCCTGGTTCCTTTTTTGATGGTCCAAATGTGTAGCAGATTTTTAAAAATGTTTATATCTAATTTTGTATCATGGATTTTCGCTATATCGCAGGACTTTGCGGTATATATGTATTTTCATATATTTATTATTTTAATTATTTTTGTGGTAAAATAAATATAAGCTAGCATAAAAAATAGAATACAATATAAAAAAATTTATAAAATATTGCTTAAAACATTTTAAAAGAATATAAAGTCAAAATAGAATACATAGTGTACAGCAGATGAGTAGGGAAAGACTAGCACATATGGAAAATGCAAAGCTAGCAGACTATTTGCTGATGGATGGATGGGAGGCGACCAACCAGAGCACTATGTTCTGTACCCTGGGCAGTGAATGGCTCAGAGACCATAGCATCAGTCTCCTTTGTCTTTCGCGTGTAGCATGCATTCATCACCTGGCCTTGTCCATTTCACAATGACATTTGATCCTTGCGTATAGTGTTGCTCTGTGGTGTTGTGTTTTTTTGGCGAAATTCCGTTAAAAAAATTGAATTTATTTCAAGCCCCATGATGTCTCCCACACTCTGTGCATTCTAAGTGTTCTGGCATCCATCCCAAGTGGAGGGTTTATAAATCCTTAAAATATGTATAAATAAAAAATTAAATATAAGGTAGCTACTTCACAGATTTTGGCCTATTGCCAGGGTTCTGGAACCTAACCCTCACGATAGACAGGGGATCTTTGAATATCATATGTGAAAAGAAAAAGATATGCACAAATGGATTCCTGTTGTAATATTAAATAGATGCGTCATGTCATGAGAAATTTCATTGCATAAATTTAGTATGTCATAAATATATACAATGGAACCTTGGTATGCATTCACCATGGAATGGGTAAATTGTCTCAATACTTCACCATTTGATAAACGTTTATCAGTTACATTAAGCCATACATTACCCAGCATTATCCCTTTTCTAGCTGGAAACAAAAGACATCATTTTGATTTGATCTGGCATAGAGATAGTGTACTTTCTACGGTATTTGCAATTTTAACATCATAGGAAAAATTTCAGGGTATAGCCAAGATGAAAAAAAGAGTACAGGTTGTGAAAGGGTTAAATTTACCATAATTCCATTGGAAAGTGAATTCAACCTACTTTTTCTTTACTATCTTCCAGGGCCTGAAATGTTTTTCTGGATCACTATGGGAACAGCCATAGTAATTAATGGTGAGTCCTTTAGTCAACCCAATTAAGAAAGTGTTAAGCAAATGAATGGGAAATTTCTCAACACATTCATTTTTGCATTAATTCTGTCTCAGAAGCATTAAAATTTTAATATTACACAATAAACATTATTGAAAGATTGTTTTATAAAACTGAGGTAAATTTGACTTCATAGATTACTAGCAAGCCATTGACAAAACAAGTATCTTGAAATCTAAACACAATTACATAATTAAGGATTTTCTGCCAAGCTGATTTTAAAATATATAAGGATTAAAAATGTATCAGTAATTAGATTAACAAATGCTGTATTATCATTGTGTTCATGTTTCAACAGCTGCTGTTGGGATCTATCAGAACAGCATGTATGGCTTAGCAGCTAGTCTGCCTATGAAATACACTAATGCCATTATTTTTGGGAATGTGAGTTTGCTAATCTTAGAATCAGTTATATTCATATATTATGTGTTTACCATTCCTCATATGGTAACTCAAATGTGCCTTAAAAACCATCATATTGTTAAGCAATCATCAAAGACTCTCATGATTTTTCCCAGTTGCCATCTGCAAAATTCAACCCACTTAAACCTTATTTAAACTTTGTTTTAAAATTAATTTTAAAATAGAGAAAAAAATTATCCTCTTTTTATACTGTTAGGCCCTGATTAAAGCCCTTATATATAAATTGAAAATAAATAAACTAATATAAAAAAAAATAACTTTTTGTTTTTATAGGCAAGTTTAGAGAATGTGGACTTAAGTTTATCATGACTTGAACTTTGCAAGGTGATAATCAGATTTCATTTTGAATGAAACTCATATTTTTCAGATCTTTAGAATTGCCTTAGTCATAGAATAAGTTAATTGTAATATTATTTCAGAATATATCTGGCACACTGGTGGCTCTCACTAATATTATTGTACTTGCATGTGAGTATGGACACAAATTTAAAGCATTGAAGAACCAATATGAAATAATTTTCAAATATTTTGTCAAGGACTCAGTGAATTTTAAAAAAATAACCATTACAAAAAAAACAACTTGTCTTTTGAACAGTTTTTTTTTTTTTCAAACCTTTTTCTATTGGTCCCCCCCCCCCCCCCCCCCTTCTTTAAATTCATTAATACATAAGCTAAGTAAATTGTTCCAGTTTGTAATGAGATAAGATTTGAAGTTAGTTTTAAAAAAATGTTTTTACATTATGATAAAACCATTTGACTACTTGTTTGTATTATTTCTATTTCAGTGTCTCCAGGAAAAAAAACATCAGCCATTTACTATTTTGTGGTGGCAATTATTATTCTAATGTTAGCTTTTGATGCCTATTTTATCACTGGACACACAGTAAGTACACCTATTAGCTTGAAAAATGTCGACTCATCGATATGAGCTAGTGAATGTATGTAGACAGCTGTATGGCCTGCTTAAATGAACCATTATTTAATTCCAAGTTTAGACAGAAAATAGCTACAAGGATAGAAAATTATGAGGCTGTAATATTTTTAAAAATCATTAAATTTCAGAAATTCTATCGCCATTATTGTAAGCTCACCGAACTGAAGAAGCAGGAATATCATGAGAAAAATGCCAACAGTCGTGATCCATTTTATAAATTGCTCTTTAGAAGCTTTGGCAGAGTTTTCACAAAGGTAGGTGGTTAGTGCTGTTATTTTTTAAGTGTTAACCTCTAAAAGTTGTTGGTTGAAATGTTGATTACCAGTACAGTTTTGTGCACCAAATTATATTATTGAGGAACATCTCTTAGAAAGGGCCTTTTTTCCAAAGAGTGCGTTTAAATTGGTAATATCAAAGCATATATAAACTTGAATGGCTATACACCACACTGTGATGATAGAATTCAAATCTACACTTACAATCTACACTGTGGCAAAAGGGCCTACTACTACTCTTATGTAATATCAGAACATACATTAACTACTTTATATTGTAATACAACACACTGTAACAGTAGAATTAAAATTAACACTGTGGCAGAGAGACCTAATACTACAATGTTTATGTAATATCACAGCATACTATGTAAAGTAAATTTGTAATAGAGCGCACTGGCTGTAGAATTCAAATTTAGACTTATAATATATACTCCAATATAAAGCCTACTATATTTATGTATTATTTCTATATTCAATTGCAATTAAAACTTGTTTATTTTTTATTCAATTTAGATCTATCACCTTATGTTTGGAGTTTGGTTTACATTTTTTATCACATTGTTACTATTTCCTACTGTAATGAGTGACATTAAACCATTGGAGATTGACATGGATGGTAGGTATCATTAGTTCACTAATTTTTGTCAAATATTTGGGGTTTTAGAAAAATCTCTTATCTTTAAAATGATCCATGTGTACAAGTGGTTCACAACCCAAGCAAATGTTGCACTTACCTCTATTGTAATGAAATGTTTTGAGAAAATAATTCTGAATGAAGTACTGCAAAAACTTGACCCCCACCAATTTGCTTACAAACCTGCCAGAAATACGGAGGATGCAATCTTACTATTGTTGGAGAGACTTTACCATCACCTAGACAGTCCTAAAACATATGCCAGAGTGCTTTTCTTAGACTTCTCATCAGCATTTAACACTATCCAACCACACCTTATGATAAAGAAACTTTCCTCGCTAGGTGTCAATTTAAATATTCAGGCTTGGATACTGAACTTTTTAACAAATGGACCTCTATATGTCAAAGTAAATGACCAATTATCTCTAACCAGAGAAATAAGCACCGGGGCACCACAAGGCTGCGTTCTCTCTCCTTTACTGTATACAATATATACCGGTACCAATGATATTCAAAGCTCAAGCGACACCGTTCCAATATTAAAATTTACTCATGATACCCCCATTGTTGGCTTAATATCTGAAGGAGAAGGCCTATACCGCACTTTAGTTACAAGCTTTATCAATTGGTGCAATGAAAATTTTCTCCAGTTGAATGTCCCAAAAACAAAGGAAATGGTTGTTGATTTAAGGAGGGGGAAACACCAGATTACAGATCTCAGTGTAGAAAAAGTGGAGGCATACAAGTACTTAGGTGTCACGATTAATAGTAAGCTAACATGGCATGAGCACGGCCAAATGCTGCATAAGAAATTCAACCAAAGACTGTTCTACCTCAAAAAACTGTACAATTTCGGCATAAACAAGCAAGTCGTTAACTTATTCTACAGTGCAACAATTGGAAGCCTACTTAATTTCAGTATTACCTGCTGGTGTGGGACTCAACATCTGATATTAAGCACCACATAAACTGACTAATCAAGAAAGCTAGGAACATAACAAGCTAAACATCCTTCACTTGAAGAACTATTTGAAGAAAGATGTTTTTGTAAAACTAAACACATTTTGGATGATACATCCCACCCTCTTCATCATAAATGCTTAGGATCGGGCCGTTCGGGACAAATTATTTCCATCAGGGCGAGGACTGAAAGATATAAAAATTCTTTTGTTCCCCAATTTGTACTATTTACCCGCGTGCTCCCTGAGAAGTCACACATCTTAATGAGAACTAATAAGTCCCCGATTGGTTGTTTGAAATAATTTATTATAAATGTCTTGTGTTCAAATTGTTTTATTTGCGTGCTGAAAATGTATAATGCAATCAAAAAACATTTCCATTTATTTGGATCAACAAAAGAATCTTATCTTATATTAAAGAGCTTATAACAGTTTATTTTTACATATGCAGTAATTTTAAAATTGATAATAGTATCTTTGATATTTAAAAGACACTATTTAATTGGTGAGATAGATTAGATTTAGAACCTGCTAGATTTGCTCTTCATTGCAAGAATAATTTAGATGATTTATGGCACCAATGGGCTGTAAAACATTTAAGAACCACTGCAATAGACAATGCTGGACCACTAAAATTAATAATTTGATTTTTATTTGTTTTTCATCAGGTGAATATTGGACTGCAATCTTCTGCTTCTTGTTCTTCAATCTGTTTGCTACATTTGGAAATTTGACGACTGAGTTTATCAGATGGGTAAGAAGTAGAATTGTCCATTGGGGCTAACACTGCATTTCCCTTTAACACTGACAATTTTATAGAGGGTACAACTACAAGAAATATTGTGTGTGGGTACAAAAAAAAAATGGTTGTTATCCAATTTCAGGGGGGGTGGGGGGTGTTATTATTTTAATTACATTTAATTGTACTTGTGATAATTAAATAGGATATATTGACCTGATTTTTAATTATTTTTTTAGCCCAGTCACAGATGGATTATTGTGCTGGTCCTCTTGCGGGTTTTCTTTATTCCTTTAATGGTTCTGGGCAACTTTCGTCCTGAGACAAGATCCTGGGCAGTGTTAATCCCATATGATGGTGTCTTCATTGCCACAGCTGTTCTTTTTTCCTTCTCAAGTGGATATTGTAGTAGTTTAACAATGATGTATGCTCCCAAGTAAGTAGTATTTTTAAATTATTATTATTTTTAATATTTTTTTTAAAAAGTAAATTTTATTTAGTTTCACATAATGTTTGCACCTTCAAAGGTATTTAACCATATTTTAATTACTCTTGATAAAAAAACAACTTTTATTCTAAATTTACCTGGAATTGTTGTTTTTTCCCTTAGGTGTGTTGAACACAATGATGCGCCAATTGCTGGCATGATAATGGCCTTATCTCTTGTGTTTGGCATTTTGTGTGGCATCAACTGTTCAAGGATTTGGGGGTTTGTCATTTGATCAGGTTGATCAAGGACCACAGGAAAGATGAAATTAAAGTATTTTCTCTTTACTCCAAGCTAATCTTAAACATTAAAGTAGGTAGCAAACTTTGTTTACTCCCAAAAAGTTTTAATTTCACAAAAGGTGACTTTGTTCTGTGTTGAGCTGTTTTAAAACTACAATTCAATCAGCTGTCTATGGATGAATTATACTTATAGGCCCAACAAATATAATAGTTTGACATCAGGATTTAAAAGTTAACAATTATGTGTTCAGATTGGTTATGATAGAAATGATTTCTCAGCTCAACATAAGACAGCTTTAAAATGTGTTACTTTTGCTTGTAACCATCTTTGGATGCCATGATTTGTCCTTTTTTTTTTTTACTTGAAGACAACTGATTAACACTATGGCATTTTTTACAATTTTTATTTGTTTAATGTTACTCTGCATCATTTTCTTGTGCCAGTCTATCTTGTTGAGGCTGTCCTATAAACAATTATCTGAACTATCCCCCGTGTCATTGCCAATCCTTGATTTATCTTTATGTAAATGGTCATGACTATTTTAATGTCGGTTGTTTCACTACTTCAGCCAGCATTAATGTTGAACAGAAGAGTTCTTCTGGGTTTTCCATCAGGTCTTCTTGAATTCTGGTTGTTTGTGTGATACTACTGGTGAATTCTGAACATTGATTATGTTTTTCAAAATTAGTTTTTGCTACTCCAGCCCAGGCTTTTGGCATGTAATCTTAATAGGGCATTCTAAAGGTTTAACCCTTTTTTTTATTTTGTATTAAAAATAAGATTTTAAGGTTTTTTTCAATTGACTGAAATTCGCCTTAAAAGATGAAAATGTTGTATTAATTTTTGTTTAAGCCTCTAATTCACCATTTGCTATTTATTTTTTTTAAAAACTATTTGATGTAAATATTTGAGTTTCATATAATATTAATAATATGTACGTAAAATGAATAATGTGTAGATGGGGTGAAAGTCAGTTGAGAACCTTCCATAACGACATTAGGATGTAGAGCACTGTTTAGATTTTAAAACCTCTGTCTAAATAGTATTTATACAATACAGTTATGATTTGTCATATATTTTATTTTATACATTCAAGGTTTTCTTTTTTTTTTCAAAAAACCAACAGTCCTTTTCCATTAGCTTTAATTAAGACATCTTTCCTACTTTCACCACTGTGTGCAATGTAAGACATCTTTCCTACTTTCACCGCTGTGTGCAATGATAGTTTATAGTTAGAGTAAAAATGTATTTAAACTGACTGTCTTGCCTGTAAGCTATTGTTTTGTTGAACTTATATTATACTTAACTCTTCTTGCACTGCTGAATAGACATTTTCAGTATTTTACTATTTTACCTTGAAAATTGATTTAAAATTAGCTTTGGAAGTATTACCAATATTAAACATAGACAAAGAGGCTCTACTGATGTATTCCATAATGGTTCTTTTTACATGTGAATTCATAGCCCTGAATAATACACATATTAGCCTTGTGCTTCCAATTTCTATTTAGACTTGTTTTACTTCCATTTTGCTCTTAAAACTGCTTCTAAGTAAGGACCCTACAAATGACAAAACAAGGACAAATACCGGTACAATATTTTAATTTTAGAGCGCATTAAAAAAAAAACCATGTAAACGATCAAACACATGCTCTTAAGGAATTAAGTCCATTTTTTTTCACAATCCTGCCAGTTTTTAAAAATAATTTGTTGGTCTATTATCAATGCAATTTTAGACAACAGTGTATTTTTTAATTTAAATCGAAAGATAAAATTGTAACTGTCTGTTCATTTGCAATCGACTTATCACATTGAGTCGGGAAAAAAATTGACCTTGAAATTCCTTATTTGCTGTAAATTTTATTGTTAGATCCTTTGATTCTCTATATCCTATTTATCCATTGTAAGATGAAATATGAGAAATATATATTTAATGCACTATGTGATAAGGCTATTGAAAAGTATTTCTAATTGGATTTTTGTGTGTCATGTTTCTTGCCACAGTTCCTTTCTCAGTTAAAAGCTATACTTGCGGTCGACTGGTAAAAAAGTTTTTAAAAATATGGCCAGTTATAAAATTCAGTAAAATGTGTGCTTTATTTCTCTTTAAAACGTATAATTATTTATGTAGCTCTAATAATAAGCTTATTTTGCTATCATTCACATCATTTAGGAGTTGAAATTCCTTAAATAACTGATCAGTGAAGAAAAATACAATTATTTTACTTTCACAACTTCTTGTCACAGCATTTACTAATTAAAACAAACCAATGCAACAAAGTAAAATTGTAGGAATACAATATTTTATTTTGAGGATTTTTTAATTGCTAATTTCAATAATTTCATGGCTCTGTTGCTTTAAAAAATAGTTAAGTAGAGTTGAATTTCTTTTTCTAGAAACTAACTCATGTCAAGACTAAGAAACAATTTCTGTAACACTTACTTCACTAAGGTTTTTCCCGTGCAATTTCTCGTCAGTATTTAAGCAGTTTTGTTTGCATTTACAGGGATATATTAATTTATCTTTTGATCTTTAAAAAAATTTCATTTAAAAAGTTATCGGATAACATTTCTTTCTCAGATGGCATTATTTTAGCTTGTCTGTTTCAATAAACAATTAAATTATGTCTTGAAATGCCAAAATTTTATTTTAATTAATTACTGGATGACAGAGTACATTGATTAAACTATTTCAAACATGACATGCATTGTACTGAAATATTCATTTGTTTGTTTCCAAAATGAAACAATGATAACAGGCCGATATCTACTTTATATATGTATTGGTACTTTAATTGTTATAGAGTTTATAGTTTGACTCAAACCAATTTTGTCTCTCAGGGAATCATTATAAGCACTTAAATGTCAGACTTTTTTTTTTCTATTTCTTAAATTAACCTCTCCCAACAAAGTGCACCTTATATAATAAAGCCTTATACACAAACTTTTGACATTGCACAGGTCATATGGACAGGTCATGTGACATACCTCAATAACATGACTGTGCTAAATTTTTGTTTTAGTCATTACACCAGTGATTCACAGCAATTTTAAGCTGTTCTAATTCTAGTAGTAAATAATGAAGAATTAATGTTTCTAAAGTTTTCTGTGAAATAATTCCAGTCTGTGTTCAGCTTGAGAAGCACTCCTATTATGTGAATTATTACAAATTCAGGATTATCCTCAATAGGAAAATGAATGTCTAAGTAAGCTTCATGTGACGTGTGCTGTTAGCATTGTGTCTTAGGTTTATTTTGTAATGATAATGAAGTATATAATGTAGTTTTAAAATCCTTTTTTTTAAAAAAATATAATATCCTAATGGACAATGAGTGCATGTGAAAATACTTAAGATGAGTATGTTTTCATGGTTTGGAAATGTTGTTTTGTCACCCTAGTAAAAAATAATAGAATTTTCACAAAAAGAACACAACACTATTTTTTTTCCCTGTAATTGAAAATATGGGGATGTTGTTCAAGGTTCAAGGTAATAGCATTTGTATGTTATTTACCTAATCTATAATGACTTTTGTAGCATGGCTATTTCAAGTTAACACAAGAAAGTTCATTTCTGCTCTACATGAAACACTGATAAATGATAACTCCATGAAAATAAGACTATACTTCCAATTAAAAAGTTTGTTGCCTGTGTTTCTCAAATGTTAGAGATAAGAAGAAATATATAAGATACTATTAATAAAATTCAATAATTATTTTTTAACTCACAAAATACCAGATTATTGTTTGGGCTTGAAATTTATTGTTTTTTTTTAAAAATGTTTTTACCATTGTTGTTGACATTTTGGTGCTTGACTGTCTTTTTAAAAACTTAATCCCTTATAAACTGTTAATGATTAAAGATAAGGTTACAGAAAATAAATCAGGGGAAATGTCAAATTCTCCTTTGGGCAGCACAAAAAGTTTGTCAAACAAATAGACATTTAAAAAAAACAAACTTTATAATATTCATTCTTTAGTCACCTTTGTAACACAGCTACTAAGTAAATGACACTCACACATAAAATGTTCTTTTTTAGCTTTGAATCTCAGCCTTAGAGCTCAAAAGTCCTAGAACGCTTTTATTTAAGTGACACAATTATATGCTGTTTCAACTTGATTTACATCTTGCTGAGAGAGTACAAACCATTTTCTCCATACCCGGTACCATTGAGAGTGTAAATAACCAATAACTTTGGCTACTTGTCTGTCACCGGTGACATCACATCTGCCAATAATTGTTAAACTAATTTAATCCACATTTTTTTTTATTTAAGTAAAAACATTTAAAAGTGTATTCCTTTGAAACAATTATCTCTCAGATACCCATAGCTAAAGATATTATTAGGTAGCTCAACTTATTCCCAACACATCACAGCTTTCTTTGTCATATCTTTAATTCTCCTTTCTTTTAGACTGTTTTAAAAGAAAGTTTTAAACTTTTTTTTGTCTTATGAACACAGCCAATGACTTCCAACTTAAAAGTCTGATCGCCTTGGTTTTGATAGTAATGGCAAAAAAATAATTAGAATGGAAATAAAAATCCAAGCGAATGATGATATTATGGACTTGAAAGACATTTTATAGTTATTGTTCATTGAATAAATGATTCACACATGGTTTAATTTCTCATAATTTCATTTTATCTAAAGTAGAAGTTCTATTTTAATGTAAATGTGCAATATTTTTTTAAAAATTAGCGAAAGCAAAAAATTAAAAATAACTACTTATAAAAAATTTCATTTATTTGCTCTTGGTCCGCACCAGCCATGTTTAAAAGCAGACATATTGCCACACAGTTGGTATGATCAATAATAATTATTGTTTCAATCCTTCTACTTCTACAAATGTCTTTATCTCTGTAAATAAGCATGCCAAGTACAAAATTCCCTTGTGTGCCATGCTGCAAAAATGAATGACACTGGCTTCATTTGTTTAATAATTGGTGATAAGTTGAGGTAGTGGAAGCAAGACAACCTATAGTGTCAAAGGAGTGGCTGGTAAAACAACCAAGAAATCTTGTTGATAAAAAAACTTAAGTTTGGTTTCGCACTTTCAGCTTTGTGAATGATTTCTTTTATCTTTATGTGCTTGCTACATCTATTTGTTATTATGGGATTAATTTCATGACAATATCTCTAGTAGGTTTCTTTTGTATCCACGATAAGCCACTTTTCATTTGCACTGTACTACCTATTGTGGTCTGGTGACCTATTTCTTTTAGTCAGTCGAACCCTTTTGGTTACCAACAGATAAAATTCTGTTGTTTTTTTTTAAATTTAATATATGATCCTTTTATGTTTATTTGTTTAACACATTCTGTGCAGCTGTAATTCCATTTATTTTGTTCACCTGCATTTAAAACAAAAGATGTATATTTTAAAGAAGCAAACATTAAAATAACTATAACACTAGTAAGCAAGTCAATCATATTATTATTCCTATACCTTGTATTGCATCCAAGATGGCCCAGAATCATATAAATCTTGCTTTGTTTTGTTTTTTAAAATTTCAATTGCTGCCATTTGTGCTCTAGTTGTGATACTCTTCCTATTGTGATTTTGTTAAGTAAATATAAAACACAGAGGTTTGTTATATAATTGTAATATATATCTATGTGAATGACCTGTTGGGTCAAACTCAGTAACATTGGTGTATATTGTACAGGAATAGCTTTTGTCTCTGATTATCTTACAACACTTATCTATGTTGATGATTACATTTACCAGGGCCATTGC